CATGAAAGCCAATAATTGACGCCGGTTTGTGCGACATCAATTGGCAAATTGCGTCAGTGAGGGGAGAGAAGCTCACTAATAGAGCCTGTGATATCAAAACACATAGCCCTACGGATATAGGGATCTCGGCCATTTCCAACTTTCGGCGTATGAAGCATGCGATTGGAGCATTCAGTCGGACTGTCGGTTGAACCAGGTCATCAGCAAGCTGTAGGTTCAGTTACATTGCATGATCTCTAGCTCCTGTAGGAATGGTAGAGGCATCCATCACGGCGACAAGTCCGCATCCCAAGGCCAACGTCCGGGACCTCGCACGACTAGTCACATATCCAAAGCGACGGTGCGGATGTCTCTGAACTTGGAAATATCGCATCATACGCGATAACCGCAAACGGAGCGATTCACCGTATGGCGTATTCGACGGCAATCAGCTGCGCTTCTCGGACGCGGGGGTGCAATGCAGAGACCCCTCAGCTATATGATCACATCAACTCGTCGTCGAAGCACGACACCGAGGCATACAACAGCCTGTAAGGCCGTCGAGACGATGGTAAGCCATATGAAAGTCGCGTGCGGCAAAAGCGACATGTGCGTTGCGCCCCCAATGGATAAAATGTGCCCGAAACCCCTATCTCGGCAGCTCATGTAAATAATCTAGAATTGCGTGCTTCGGGGGCATGTTGGATCGTTGGAGAGTCGCGGGTTGCCGTTTGTGGTGAGAATCAAGGTGGTGATGGCGTGATTGTGCCCGCCACTCGCACAATGAATTATTGGAGATAAGGCGCATGACGCTACGTAACACCTTGATATGTCAGCTTTCGTGAAAGAAAAAAAGAAACTTGGTTCCACTGACAGGCTATTGAAAAAGAGATGAAACAATTGAAGCTGTGATTAAATAGTTTAAGCTGTATGTAAGTGAGAGAAGGCCGGGTTATTAAGCAGGCCTCAACTGCTTCTAACAATTAGTCGAATTGCATAGTAACAAAGCAATACCCCAAAAGAGCGGCAAAATACGTAACTGATTGGGATTTAGTTCAAATTGATAAGAAGTATACTGCCGAGCATCTACAGTTGTATCTACTGCGCATATGCATGATCTCATCCCTCCGGGGTAGCGATCTGAGGGATGGAAGGCCGGGGTCCGGGTTTCGAGGCCACCTCGATATTGGTAACAACTAGCTGCTCATTGGTACCCCGGACGGCATATCTGCATAATAGCTATCCTAGGTTCCATCGAGTCTAGCCCTCTCGTCGTAATTGCTTGGGTTATTCTCATCATACCTTCCCGCACCTGCCGGGTCCAATATTGTTCCTTGGCTCGTTGCGTGCGATCGCCACGTTTATACATCAAAGCGGACTTTATAGATAGTGTTATTATATAACCAACTTTGGGGAAAAAGTGACGATGTGTAAATACTGAGGAGTAACCCTCTTCTTTTCCCTCCTTAGTATTCTCTATCCCATTTTGCCAACATCATCATGGCGACCGTACTTACGAAAGGCGGAAAGGACCCGTCTTCGGTCTCAACGACCTCATTAGATAGCATTTCGCCACCGCTGGGAGCTCCGATAGTTGAGAGACGCTCATGGTTCAAGAAGGGATCGAAAATCGACAAAGATGCCATTGCAACTCAGGTATGTTCCTATCGAATCAATTAGTTCTTGTAGCTGTGCTGACACGACTGCAGCTTTCGGTATTCGACGACCCAGACACGGCTGAGAAGTACCAGCCGAGACCAGACTGGTAATCAAATGCAATTCTGCTTTGTCTAAAAGGCAAGATAGCTAACGTGAAAATAATTAGGGAAAATATCCATAGATTCGACCCTTCTTTCCGATGGACATGGCGTGAAGAGGGCAAACTCATCCGGAAAATGGACCTGTACATTACATTTTGGGCATGTATAATGTTCATGGCTCTCGAACTTGACCGCTCCAATCTTTCACAAGCATTGACCGATAACTTCCTTTCGGATCTTCATATGACTACGAATGGTATGCTCGATAGCCACAAGCCAATACCTACAAGAGCGCTAACAATCCACCTTTAAGACTACAACTTGGGCAATACGGTGTTCAAGCTATCATTTCTTCTCGCAGAGCTTCCTTCACAGCTAGTGTCGAAATGGATGGGCCCGGATCGATGGATCCCGATGCAGATGTGCTTATGGAGTCTCGTCGCAGGCGCCCAGTTTTGGTTGTCTGGTCGAAGCTCGTTCCTTGCCACACGAGCCTTGCTTGGAATTATTCAGGGCGGATTTATTCCCGACGTAAGCTGTTTACCGCTACAATCACTTGGATCAATTCACTAATTAGAAAAAATAGGTCATCCTATACCTTTCCTATTTCTATAAGCACGCAGAGTTGACAATCCGCCTGGGTTTCTTCTGGACCGCTCTGAGCTTGGCAGACATATGTTCGGCATTGCTCGCGTACGGACTATTGCACATGCGAGGTATCGCGAACCGCTCTGGGTGGAGATGGCTTTTCCTTATTGAAGTAAGTCAGGCGTGGTGATGCTCGTGCTCATGAGACGTTTGAGAACACATACTAACAGATAGCATTAGGGCCTCTTAACGCTCGTTGTAGGATTACTCGCCTGGGTTCTCATGCCGGCTGGCCCTTGTCAAACGGCTAGCTGGTTTAGAGGCAAAAAGGGTTGGTTTTCTGAACGGGAGGAAAAAATCATTGTCAACAGGGTTATTCGTGAAGACCCCAGCAAGAGTTCGATGCACAACCGCGAACCGGTAACACCCAAGTTACTATGGCAGAGTCTTAAGGATTATGATCTCTGGTGAGTCTCAAGTGGAAAAGAAGAAACCGAAAGGGTATCATTTACATATATTGACCATTGCGATAGGCCGATATACATCCTTGGACTTGTATTCCAAGTTCCTGCCACACCAGAGGCTAATTATCTTACTCTTGCGCTCAAGGGCTTAGGCTTTGACACTTTCCAGACCAATTTGCTCACCATTCCATCAACGGTACTGCACGGTAAGATATATGTGTTCCACTCAATAGATTCCGTTTACTAACTTGTTTTGCCCCAGTCTTTATGATGCTGGGTCTTACATATCTAGCTGAAGCTTGGGGCGAGCTTACTTTGACGGCTCTTATTGGTCAAATTTGGCTGCTCCCGTTCTTAATTTACCTCAATGTTGTTAATACTCAAGAAGTGAACAAGTGGGTGTTCTGGGTGGTGGTTACACTTCTCCTTGCATACCCGAATGGTAAGTTCAGTCGAAGTTTCTCTCATATTACGTATCCTTATTAACAAATCGATGCAGCCCATCCGATCCAAGTAGCTTGGAACTCGCGCAATAGCAATGCGGTCAGACTTCGAACGGTTTCAGCAGCATGTTACAACATGTTCGTCCAGGCTGGTGGTATTGTCTCCGCCAACATCTACGTAGCGAGTAAGCAGCTCTCCATTTCGCTCACATGATATGTTACTGACTAAGCTTGGATAGGTGATGCTCCTCGTTATGTTCGTGGCAATCGCGCACTCCTCGGTATCGCCTGCATGAACGTAGTTATATATATCCTCACAAAGCTGTACTATGTGTGGCGTAACCGGTCCCGAGCAAAGAAATGGGATGCGATGACTGAAGAACAGCGACTCAACTATCTTGCTACAACAACTGACGAAGGAAACAAGAGGCTCGACTTCAGATTTCAACATTAGAATGTCTCTAGATGGGGTATTAGACGTGGAGAGGCGCAGTGCGGTATTATTATTCTGTATCATGTTTGAGCTACGGGGCGGTTGTAACGCATGTTTTGACTAGTGTTTCTCTTCAGTTAAAAGTCTCGCGATTATGACGATATGAATATAGTTAAAATAGCTATCGTTGTTGATCTTCTGTAAGGAGCAGTTGGCACACTTTTGCCAATCCTACCGGGCGAGCGGGCGACAGAAAAACCGAGGCCGAGAATATCCATCTTAAACACCTTCACGATACATGACTAGTATACACTAGTTCTTCAAGTATCTGCTACTATTTATATTCTCTCTACCGTAGTCTTTACTACTATATCTATATTCCTCTAGCAACTGCTACTATATTTATATATTTATCCTAACTGCTGCTACAGTTATATAGTAACATTCGGGCGTTGGTTAAGCAGCACTGGCGTTCCCTCACAACAGCACTACCTACTAACTTGATGGGCTGATTACATGTAGGTACATGTACTTCTCGCGTTTTCTAACCTCCGCTTGCCAAGTTTCGTGTTCTTGGCATTTTGCTGATCGCGATTGCAACTAGACCTAAAGCAGGAGCATTAGCGGGATGATTCCTGGCCCTTAGTGAAGAAACAAGTGGCACTTAAGAATCTTGTTTTCTCATCACAATCGGCTACCCTCAGATGCAGATGTAGGCGAAAGCCGAGATTCGTGATTCTGCTTGCGTGATTCGCGAATGCTCAAGGCAATCGCTCGCTCATCTCGAATGAGAGTTGTTTGAGATCGCACTCGCATAACTCTGCGCGTTACTGACGCGTGGGTTTTCAGCATGCGAGGGGCCGTCTCTCACCCACGGGCTTTCATGTATGTATGCTCATGGATATATCTCGATATCGTTGCATATTGACGCCTTGTTAAAGATGCCTGTCCCTCTCTGTCTTCATTCTATCTGCTAGGTATTATACTAGTGCTTCTTTTGGTATGGAGTAACCCCCTTGCGTGGCTATAATGGCGATAGTTCTGACCGACCTATAGAACGCCCTGTTCATTTTACAATCATTACTCTCCTTTCCACTGGCATTTGGCTGTTGGGTTCTGCATATTACTGGGGGCGGCGAACCGACTGCCAATATCTTGCGGTCGTTGCAAATCACAAGAGCTCGACTGATGTAATTAACCCAACAAGTACAGTCGTCAAGTATTTCAGAATTGGTCATGAACACTTTCGACATCTACATCCGTCTTTTCCTTTTCTCTTAAGTTGCTTAGCGTTGCGAACGTTGATCTACTGGGGCGTTATCCGAACTTCACAATGCTCGCGGTCTGGTCCGGAGGTAAGTCTCCTTGTATGAATAACTTTTCTCCAAACTAATCATTTCGTGCAGGCATTTCTACCGCTGTTCTCGTTTATTGCTGTAGCAATAGGGCCTGGATTCGGACTCCTAACTTTACAGTCCAATAAGCCACAGCCACGATGGTCCATGCCATCCAAATCCCAGATTATCTTCACATTTCTTGCCGCAGTGTGGCCACTATTCGTCATTTCAGCAGAAGAAAGCTCGAAAATTGCTACCGGGACTGTGTGTCCCATTGGATGGGGGCGCTTCGTCTCACTCGCTCAGCTCTGCAAATGCCTGATCGATGCCGTGATCATAAGCCATACATCTCATTTGGCGCGCGCAGCTACAGAAGATGGAATCGACATTTCTGAATTCATGGGAAAGCTTTCGCTTGTCGCGGCCGGAAGCATTCTGTTGCTCTCATTCCCATCTTGGCTTTCGGATTCAGAGTTGATCATGGCATTTACCTTTCGAGCTCTCGACAATGGAGATTTTGCTGTGGATGGTTTCTTTGCGATGATCGCTGTACTCTCCAGCTTAACACTGTTACCCCCTGTGCATCCATCATGCTTCGCGCTTCTTATAACTACTGCCACTTTCATGGGCTTACAGATACCTGTCTATCAGACGATTCCGCTTCTATCTCCCGTGTCCTACGGAGAGCTTGTGAAGCATACGACTCTTGTAGTCGTTCTAGCAGTGCCTCTGTGGTACCTTGCCATTAGCATTCACCATACTGGAGAGTCTAACGCATCACAAAGGATCTTCAAGGGGCTGATAATGTCCGTTAGTGGGTTTGCAGTAATTGCAATGGTGGTATTGGCGCGACTGCTCTTCATTGCGTCTCCGACTATAGCTCTAATCCATACGGCCATCAAGTCACTCGTATCGGAAGCATCTGCGGAGATATTCGCGTGGGAGTCACAAGCCGCAACTAGTAGATCACTGGCTGATGCTGTGAATGAATACACGAAAAGGTACACGCTCCCACCTCCACCAAACTTCGACAAATGGTACGAGTTCGCAAAGGAGCGCAACTCTATCGTTGTGGACGACTTCGACCAGATCAACAAGGACTTACTTCCCTTCTGGGGGGTGGAGCCTGCACAAATACGTGATTCGACTACAAAGCTCTTCAACTACGGAAGCTCAGAAATGGGCGGCATGCGTATCAGGAACGGTTCGGTAGAGCAGTCGCCTCATATTCCAGGATCGCATCGTTGGATGACGGAATCATATCAGAGGATGATGGAGCCGTTTTCCAAGTGGTTGCCGGACATGGATATAGCTATCAATCTGGCCGATGAGTGCCGTGTGGTCGTTCCATTTCGCCATTTGGAAGCTCTCAAATACTTTGCACAGGAGAAGAGACGAGAAGTTTCCAACCAAATGGAACAGAACGGCTGGCCGAGCAGCGTCTTTTCGCAATTTCCATGGCCTGAGGACTTCCCCGAGCCTCTACCTCGGGCGACGGATGGCAGAAAAGATGCCATTGATCCCCTCTTTACAAATTATATCCGGAGACCCATGTTTTATGATTTCGTTGCTGCCTCCTGTCCACGAAGATCGGCAGTACACAGTAGTCGATGGTGGGATTGGAGCAGTACTTGTGTTGGCTGTCTGAAGCCACATTCGCTGCTTACAACCAGCGGTGCGATATTGGCAGATGTATCGCTTGCTCACGATCTTTGCCATCAGCCGGACGTCGCATACTTGGATGGATTTCTCAATTCGCCATCTGCGTTGGTCGGCACAAATCTACTCTTCCCCATCTTCAGCCAGGCACGCGTCGGCGGCTTCTCAGATATTCTAATACCGTCGCCGTGGCATTTTGATGACAAGAGTGCCTTTAAAGAGGACAGTGGCGTGGCGTGGGAAGAGAAAGCGAACACTTTATTCTGGCGTGGATCGCGATCGGATGGATTCTCCGCCCATGGACGATGGCCTGGATTTTTACGACCGCGATTCGTACATGAAGCTTATGAGAAGACTGTGGCTTTGCAATCATCCGGCATTGAGACTCCTGTTCACATTAACGTCTCCTTTACTGGGGAGATGTCCAGATGTGATGGATTGGATTGCACTGTCGAGTTGGAAAATTATAAGCAATGGGGTCTCGTCACATTAAGCAACGATTCGGCTGTGGACCAGGAAGCAAACCAGCTTCCCACTGGCGTCCCATTTGAAGAGCACTGGAAATATAAGCACTTGATGGACATGGATGGCGCGGGATTTAGCGGTCGCTTTCTGCCTTTTCTGGAGAGTCGCAGCTTGCCATATCGTGCGGCGTTCTTCCGTACTTGGTATGATGAGAGACTCCGAGCCTGGCATCACTACGTTCCTGTGGACATTCGACTTGGATCAGGTTTTTGGTCCGTTTTGGAGTACTTCAGTGGGGGTGCTAATGATAAAGACGCCGAGGGACCTGAGATGGCCAAGAAAATTGCAGAACAGGGGAGAGAATGGACGCAAAAAGCGCTGAGGAAAGATGACATGCAAATCTACATGTTTCGCCTATTGTTGGAGTGGGGGAGAATCACGCATGATGAAAGAGAGCAATTGGGATTTTCCATTACCAGAGAAGAATAGAATATATTTAATATAGAGGTAAGATCTATATAGCGAAAGACGATGGTTGAACTTTGAATAAAACCTCTACAAACCGAACTCTTCGTAATAGTACTACGCCAAGGTAGCAATCTTTGACCGTCTACATGCCTAGACATATTAAATAGACCAAAGTCCCGAAATAATCCATGTTTGCCAAGAACATACCATTTCCAAAGAGAGCGGCACTTTGGTATCTTGGATGGAGATGACAAGTACTTTTGTCCCCCATACTAATTAGACCGTTCTGTTATGCTTATCCAAGTAGCTTTCATTAGCACAGCATGTCACCGGCAGCTCCAACTCCATGCGCTTTATCAACTGCCAAGCCATATTCCTATTGGATCACTGCGTCGATCGCCCGGCCATTATCCCTGATGAAGCAGGTGGGAACGGTCGGATAAACCCAGCAAACATAACAGTTGAGCAATCACTCAATGATGGAGATTTTCGAATACTCAATGATTCCTCGAGCGGGGTCAATTGATGTTGGACGAGATGCCTGCTGGGTAACGGCAATCGATGGAAACGTATATAAAGGCGGTGTAAACTCCCAATTACGGCTTCCTCGGACTTCTTGAGATATTCCATCTGTCGAGGTCTCGCGACGGCTCCAAAAGAACATGGCAATCCCTAGTTACAGGCCCCGTCGTGTTGTGATGGGAGCCTCGGCCTTTGCATCGGTGCTCTTGGTTGGGCTGCTTGGCCTCCCTGCAGAAGCAGCATCAAAAACACCATGGAGTGATCCTTTTAAACCCATTGATCCCCAAGTCTGGGTGAATCCCGACGACATGACATGGGACGACTTTAAAGCGCCGCCTGGTACTCAATGGAACGACGCGACGAAGAAGGGCTCTGGTCGCAACTTCAACATTGCGTTGATAGCCGTGGACTACAGCGATGAGACTTTCGTTGTGACTCGAGAACCCAACTCGACAGTCTTTGGTAATCCTCTTCCGATAGTATCTGGTATCGACCGGGAAGATGTCCCTGCCTACTATCGCGACTTACTCAACAAGCCGACTGACCTTAACCGCGGCCATACACTACATGAGTACTGGATGGAGGACTCACACGGCCGATATGGAGTCGACCTGACAGCATTTGGGCCGTACCGTATGCCTTCATTGTCGTATCAGTATGGCGTAGACAATGGCTTTAACCCCGGAGCATGCCCGACGAATAACACTTGCAACCGGGATATTCGAACAGATGCTTATGCGGCTTGGCGAGCAGAGGTGGGCAATACCACGAGTAACTCATTTGAGTTGGTATTCATCCTCTCCGCTGGACAAGATGAATCGTCCACATGGCAGGAGTTTGGTGAGATGAGATTTTCATCTCCCGAGGATGTGCCCGATGCCTTTGGACCTCCCAAGAATGCCGACGGCTCTTCTTCGATACCGAACTACGCATCGACAAGATATGTTCCATGGACATCGTGGGCATCTGCATCTACTATTTGGCCTAATGCAGGTGGTGGTTCGTCGACTCAATGCGAAAGCTCTGGAATGGGAACGTATGCGCACGAGCTCAGCCATCTACTGAACATTGGGGACAACTACAATAACCCGTTCGGCATTCCCTTGCGGCGAGACTATACCGGCCCATACTCAATGATGTCTCGCGGATCTTTCAACGGCCCTGGCGGTCCTCATACACGGTATCAAATCCCAGCGCTTCAGGGTGGCTCTATGGGTTCCTTACACACTGTTCGAGACAAGCTCGTTCTTGGGCTCATCTCCAACGACAGCGTGGTGAGCATATCGAGAGACGCCCTGGCCGCATCAGGCCCTGTTGTGGCCCAAATCACAGCGCGATCCGTTTTGTCTGATCTCATTGGCTTGAGAGTTGTAATTGACCAGGATCGCTCGCCAGCATGCAACATTTCGACTGACGTACTCTGTGACGGAGGTCGCTACAACAGCTATGATATCGAAGTGATTGATCGGATGGGCGCCGACTCATTCCAACCTGACTCAGGCGTGATGATCAGCAAGTCAAAGACTAGCAACAGCCAGCCCTTCCAGTGGACCATCGATGCCAACCCCGAAGACATCACACTCATCGACTTTTACCGACCAAACGGAACCGCTGCTTATATCACCATGGGTGATTACCGTCAATTAGCTGATGCGCTATTCCATGCCGGCACTGGATCTGGAAGCAAATATGAGTTTGTGGATGAGCCAAATGGCCTTCATATCTACATTTTGGATGTCCACCGGGATGAAACTGGCGTGCTCTCTTATACCGTTGGCGTGCGGTCCCTGGTTGATGACAGTTCAAGCCAATATGGTATTCAGTTGTCTTCTGGGGTTCCATTCACATACGGCAAAAGCAGCCCAGTAACCGGAGGCATCTTTTGTGAATTCGAACTCACGAATAATGGTACATACGTAGCCTCTAGTGAAGGCAATGCTCAAGTCCAGGCAGATCACCTTGAGTGGGATATTTTCCGACTGAAAGCCGATATCAAGGGATCTGGTTGGAAGGCGAACCTGCCGAACGCAGTAATCCCTGTCAAGTATGGGGAAATTGCAAAGGCTTATGTAGCTGTGGCCGCTGAGACTCACGCAAAGGATGCGACGGGTGTTGTGAAGTTGACGGCTACATCAGAGTCTGATCCAAGCGTGGTGGCAACTGCGACTTGCAAAGTAAAGAAGAACACTTGTCATTGAGTGGGATCTTTTATGTTGGAACGAATTAATGGATGACGTCTATTTTCTTGAATTAAAACGCGAAATATCTATACACTATATCTATACACTGCTACGGCTGCATTGTGTAGCGGTAACTCCTAGACTCGGGTAATGTTTTGAAGCGACATGTCTCCAATTCTGATGTAGCAAATGCTTATCTGCGCTCCAACTTCTTGCCAAGATCTTCGCGGATGTAAACCTCGTTAAACTCCCTCAAGTAGGGCGAATCCGTTAGCCTCTTAAACGCCTCCTTCAACTTTCCATCCTCATCCTTGTCCAAATGAACAACTCGCCAAACATTCAGAGGCTCCTCTTCAGTGCCACTCACAGAGTGCTCGACATGGAAGAGCGGCTGATTTGTTCCGGCAACAATCTTGCGACCATCCGGGCCTTCCACTTCCGGCACACCAATAAAGAAAACTCTTTCGTTTTCACTGTCCAAAAAGACTTGCTCGATGACGGTGTTGTATGTGGTGGGATCTACCCAAGTTCCCTGATCAGTAACACGTACAAAAGTCTCTGTGGGTCCGTTCTTTTGAAGGTTGAAGACTTGGAGACTTCCTGGTCGCAAGAGATGTCTTAGGTATTTGGCTGGGTTGTGCGCTTTCTTGACTTCCATGTCCCAAAGTTGTGTTTTTGAGTAATGCAAATCCGGATCAGCATCATAATGGCGGCTTTTGATGACTTGATTCACGTTGGAGGGCTCGAAGATAATTGGAGTGTTGTTGGGATCCCTGAAGGCTGCCTCGAGAATCTCTTCGTGGTCTTGAAAAGTGGCCATTTTTGTTTTTGCAGGAGCAATATTAAGATTGACTAAGCTGTGAGATTGTGTTAGATTTATTGGTTGGTTATTAGTTGGTTGGTAGGTAGTTGTGTGCTTGTCGATGGTTCTGAGATGAATTGCTGAATTGTTGGTTGTGAGACGGGGAGATTGTATCTTATAAACAACTGCTGTCTATATAATATGACGTAGCTCTAAATGCAATACTTTCAATGTTGTCACGATACAGCACTGCTGTGTGTATTCAGGCCCAATTACGTAGTATGCTTGGCGACTCTCGCGAGCGGACTCTTCGCGTGCCAAAATGCCCGACTTGCGCCGAGAAATTAACGCCTAGTTCGCTCTCCGGTCAAGGCGGCGATTTCTTCAGAAGGCAATATAGCATTTGATCTTACTCAGCTGCGTTGCTGTTAGCATTAACTTTATGGCCGAGCTTAATCGGCGAGACGATGGGATGACAGCTGATGGCTATTGTTAATTGCTTAGGAATCTTCATCAACTGCTCAAAACTCCAGAGGGTTACAATGACTTTGTTGAGTTGTCACGTGGGTCTGTGTGACCACTCTCTTTGGTCAAGCCCACTTTCTGTCTGCTGCTGTTTGCAGCGTTTTTCCCTTCTTCATCATAGATCAGCATAGCAGAACACAGAGAGTTTTGCGCCTTTTCAGCTTGTTAGCTTCTCAGACTTGGCACAAATCCTCTGTACAAAGTCAACACCTGAGGATACGGAGGCTTCGGCAAATGCGGATGTCCGAACTGTCCATGTCGCCTCATTGTTCATTCACGAGACTAAGATTAAATCAAAACCTAAGACTCGTATTGGCAGTTAAGCTTATGATGTTTGTTTTTTTGGCCAGCGCAGTGATTGATTGTGCAGTATGCAGATCTTTCTCTTCTCCACTGTTTGCTCACAACCATTACCGCAACAAAAATATCTCACCATACAAAAGACACAAACAAAATAATAAAGCTGGTTGACTAAGAATTATCAATACCTCTTGCTATACACTCATGAACTGCATTTCCCACAATATCCACATTCTTCATTGCAAGCAGTAAAGTCACCGGCATTACTGTCACTGTCGCTGTTACTGCCGCAGTCGCCGCAGCTTTTGCCGCCGTCATGTGTCTCTTCAACGTCATCGCTGTCGTCGAGCCACTGGAGCCATTTATCCTTCACCTGGTCTGAGAACGCAATGCCTGCATCTGGGAGACGTTTTCGAATCTCCAAAGGACCTCCTTGCGACTTAACAATTTCTAACAAAGTGCCTTCTTTCTCTAAAGCCGTGGCGATTATCCGATGCAAAAGAGCGCTCAGGCGGCTGAGATCTTGCTGATGAGATTTTTCCCAGCCTTGGACATCCTCGCGTACATCGGCTATTTCGATGTTGTTGAAAGTCCCTCGTGTGTGATGCGCAAGTATAAAATTGGGGATACGAGCAAGCCAAAGGCGTGGTAGTTCCTCTGAGAGAGTGTCATTCTCGATAAGTCTAATTGACCGAGTCTTGAGATCAAAAACAGATTCTTGAGATGTTGGCTGACCACCATCAACCACCTCGAGGTTGCCAGAATCGGCTGGTGAAGCTGATGAGGTCCCGATGGAGACACTTTCGAAGAGACTCGTCAGATCCTTGTCCCCAGTAGGCGCGGATTTACCGACTGCCAGAGCATTTGTGTCTTTCTCTTCGATGTATCCATCAGTACTTTGACGCAACAGTATGTCAAGCCCACCAAACTTGTATTTGATAACTCTATGATGCGATTTGGATGGTCGGACGTCCGGAGTCCATGTGGTGTAGGCCTCTGGAAATGCGTGCCCAAATCCTCTGACCCCCAATATTTGCTCTGTCGGGGAATTCTCTCTTCGGATAAAATGGACAGTCTTACCCACGACTTCCACAGTCATGCGAAATGAGCGGTCGACGCCCCGAACGAAGGTGCCCTGAACGAACCGTAAAAGGTTGCCAATGGTGCTATTGCATGCGACAAGGTCGACATGAAGTGAAGTCGGATGCATTTTCATAATGGCAGCAATCGCCGGCTCGAGGGGATGTTTTGGGAAGAAAGCCGAGTTGTTATCACGAAAATAGACGCCATTATCCTCAAGAAGTGCACGAGGTTTCTCCCGTGGTGTCCAAAGAGCAGGGCGACCTATGATGATTGAGATGAGTTCTATTCTATTCTCAATAGAGCTTGTGTTTACAAACGTACCTGGCACAATGATCTTCGGAGCTTTCTGATCAGCCCAATTGTACGAGGCTACCAGCTCACTCTCAGTGATTCCAAATGCAACATTTTCTTCACAGGTATCCTCAAGATCCTTCTGGTTAATGATCTCAATCAGTTCACCTAAAGGAGGCGGCGGGGATTCCTCTGATTGCGCAAGAGGGTTTCGAGGTCTGATGTCCTGATAGCCGCCACGGCCGCGCCATCTTTTGTTGTAATAAGACATACTACCTATCAATCACACTCTAAGAATTGATAATCTGCTGAAAATAAACAGATATATGCGATACAAGGACAACTGTAGATAGCAGCGGATAGTAGGAGACGGTAGTAGGTAGTAACAGGTAGTAGAAGAGAGTAGAGTAGAGTAGTAGACAGTGGTAGATAGTAGCAGATATTAGACAAATATTAAGGCAGAAAGGTAATACTTATAGCTAAAATAGTAAGTAACACGTTTGGGACGCTGAATAGGCGTTCCCTATGTATGCTGATCAGGGCCTCCCGCATACTAATTCCTATTGTTACTGGCGTCTGAAGATAATGGAGGCCTAGCAAGGTTAAATTCGTCATTGTGAATTCATATCGGGAGGCCTACGATTTCCCCGGCGACGTGCAGATGTGTAGAGGCGCAGTTGGCCGCTCATTTTGGCCAACACCTCGCGATTACGCTGTGAAATGTCAGTTGGCCAGACGTTGTGCCACACATTTATCTTCTTGGCCTCTAACAGGTCACTGCAGCCTAATGGCGTACGAAAATCCCCTGTCGTGGCCGAATCATATGGCGAGGCTGCGACTTGCAGAAGCTGCTGCGGGAGTCCTACAACTTCGGGCCAACGAGAGGAAATGTCACCCCACCATTCTCTTTAAAATGAGACGCAGCAAGGCTCCCTACGTATCTTTCTACTACACCACGGCATCAATCTGATATGCCTGCCTTATTGAATTGATAGCGTCAGGATATATCACTGATACAAAGATAATTTTACTGGCGTGGCGATGCCATATATATCCTAGAGACTATCCCAGTCTCTCCTCCTCATCAACACATGACACACATCACAATTACTTTGACAATTACCTTCTATATCATTCAGTCTCTTGACTTTGGCACCTCTACAAAATGTCCACGAAGCCAGCTCTCTCCGGTCGCGCTGCGAAGCTCGAGAACCTCTTCTACTCGTTCATCAAGGGTGATCGCTCTGTGCGGAATTCTCAAGAGGCCAAACAATTCTTTGAAGCAGTTGATGTTCTATGCGAGCATACTTCTGCTGTATCCTGCGTTGAACGCATTATTGGGCGAAAAGAGGGCTTAAGCACCGTGAGAGTTGCCATTCGCAGCAACCTTTCGCGTGCATTCATCACAACTGCTACAACGGCCTTCCTCAAACGAGTCTTGCATCATGATGTCAAAATCATCAACGACGGTCTATTCCTTGAAAAGCTGCTTGTGGAAATCCTGTCACCTTCCACCTTCTGGACCACATTCCTTGGATTCTATCAATGCAACGAACTCGAAGGCGATACTTTGGTTGCTTTTGCATCTCTCTGTCTCGAAATTGTGTCTTCGTCATCGCCCGACATCCGAATCCTCTCCAATGACGTGGAGTCTCTCATGAAAAGCTCTCCATTGACGAAATCCTCATTGGAAGAGGTACGCACTCTTGGTTATCGCATCGAAAAGGTGATCCAGCTACGCAAGGGACCGGCAACTGCATCGATTAAAATGAACTACAGCCCCGGCGGCAGACATGATAATGATTTCGAGGACTTTCGCAAGATCTCTATATTCCCAACCGCGGATGAAGTAAGCTCAAAGGAAGAGCCGTTTCTCCAACGATTGGATGATGTATTTGAGATTCCAAGAGAGTCGCGTACAAGCAGCTATATCTCTTGGCTGTTCCGACTTCTCCGCGAAGATATGCTTGCAGATTTGAGAGAGGATCTGCAGATTGCTTGGGGTCAGAAAAAAGCCAAGTATAAGCCGCTCTGCTTGGGCGGTCTCAGCTTGGTAAGCTATGATCTCGGAACTGCTTTTCGTGCGAGACCGTTCACGTTGATGGTCCAATGTCGAGAGGGAATCACCTTTCCTCCGAATAAACGCTCTCCCGAGGCCAAGAAGAAGTACCTTGAGGAATACAAAAACTTTGTCAAGCACAGCGCAATCGGTGCGCTTTGTTTGGAGAAAGACATCATTGCTTTTGGTTCTATCGTACGAGAGGTAGATGGGCTTATCAAGGATCCTCCAGTGGTCGGCATACAAGTCACCGACAATGCGGGTCTGAAATTGGCAATAAAGGCGTTAATGAGTCAAGATTTCTCTCGTCTGAAGTTTTACGTCGTCGATACCGCGACGTTTTCCTATGAGCCAATTTTACAACGTTTGAAGGAGGTCACAGAGATTCCAATTGAAAATGCAATCCTTGATCCAGCGGGACCTCCACCGACATACGATCCTCCTCCAAGGCTACGGGCTTTCATCCGCGAGCTCATAAATTGTCGTCAAAAGGGATTGGGGGCAGAGTTGGGACCTAAGCTAGGCTTCAAGCGCACTATACAGATTCGAGATGCACAGCTCGATTCGCTAATCAAGGGGTTGGAGAATCCTGTGGGCCAAATTCAAGGTCCTCCGGGAACCGGCAAATCCTTCATCGGGGCCATCATTGCGAAAGTGCTCATGGAACTTACGGAATACCGGATCTTGGTCCTCAGCTATACGAACCATGCCTTGGATCAATTCCTAGAAGATCTCATGGATATTGGAATCGATGAAAACAATATGGTACGAATTGGTTCCAAGGCTACAGCGAGGACCGATGCGCTGCGAATCGACAACCTCTCGAGAATTCCTCAGGTTCGGTCGAGCCTTGATATTAGGCCCATGCTAAATGCTACGAGGGGTGAACAGCTGCAGACGGCGACCCGAATGGACAATCTTATACAGTCATTGAAGTCCCACGTTCCGCTGCAGGAAATTTTGGATACGCTGGAATTCTCCGACTCTGGAATGGCCTACTGGAGTGCTTTCCAAGTTCCCGATGGTGAGCAAATCGCAGGAAAGAAGAATAAACCCTTACAGCCTGTTGACGTCTTTGGTCATTGGTTGAATGGAAAGAACTTGTCATCTCTAGGCATGTTGGCGGCAAATATTGATCCTGAACACTATCCAATTTGGAACATTCCACCACAACATCGACAGACACTTTATAACGATTGGGTGAATCAAGCTCGTCAAGAGCAAATTGACGAATTCGCCCAATTGGCGGAGACTGCCAATAATCTCTATCGACAGATCGATAGCCTGTTCAAGGAGAGCAAGAGAAATGTCGTAAAGCACAGACGAATCATCGGTTGTACCACGACCGGTGCAGCAATGTACCAATCTATCATCAGAGCGGCCAGCCCAGACATTGTTCTCGTTGAAGAAGCCGGCGAAATTCTCGAGGCCCATGTAATCACTTCTCTCAGCCCATCCGTCAAGCAGCTAATTCTTATTGGCGACCACAAGCAGCTTCGCCCTAAGGTCAACAACTACAACCTCACTGTGGAGAAGGGCGAAGGCTTCGACTTGAATGTGTCACTTTTCGAACGCCTCATTAGACAGGGTCACCGGTTTGCCGTTCTACAAGAACAATTCCGTTCCCATCCTGATATCTCACAGTTTGCTCGTCTTTTAGCGTATCCGGAACTAAAAGATGTACCAAAAACGCACAGCTACAAGCCGATACGCGGACTGCAAAAGAGAGTTGTCTTTGTGCATCATGAGCATCCAGAAGAGCAGTTAAACAATGTTTCAGACCGGAGAGATCCGACTTCAAAAGCCAGCAAGAAAAATACATTTGAAGCAGAGATGGTTCTGAAGACGGTCAAGTATCTGAGCCAACAGGGTTACAAGTCCGAGGATATGGTCGTTCTGACTCCTTACATGGGTCAGCTTTCATTGCTGAGACAAACGCTGAGTGAGATAAATGACCCATATCTGAACGAACTAGACACCCATGACTTAGTACGCGCCGGATTGATGACGCATGCTGCTTCCAAGGCTGCTAAAGCAAAGCTGCGATTATCCACGGTGGATAACTACCAGGGAGAAGAAAGTGACATTGTGATTATATCAATGGCCAGAAGCAACAAAAATGGCGACATTGGCTTCCTAGTCGCCTGCGAACGACTGGTGGTTCTCATGTCACGGGCGAGAAAAGGTATCATATTATACGGAAATACGAACACCTTCCTGGCTAGCAAAAAGGGCGGCGAGCTCTGGAAGAAATACTTCGATGCCATGAAAGAGAAGGGATTCTTGTTCGATGGATTACCAGTTCACTGCGAACAACATCCAACCCGACTTTCCATCCTTCAGAAACCTCAAGATTTTGATCAGCACTGTCCTGATGGGGGCTGTGCAGAGTCATGGTAAGTTGCATCCCATCAATTGACCACCATCTTTCTAACTATCTTAGCGGCGCTGTTCTTGGCTGTGGGAAGCACACATGCGAACGCAGATGCCATCGACTTACGGATCATTCGCAAGTTCCATGCACGAAAATGATGAAGAAGACGTGTGAACGAGGCCATAACATCAAATATCTCTGTGGAAAAGAGAACCAAGGCTGTAAGTCGTGCGCCAAAGAAGACGAAGAAATGCGACGAAGAATCCAGCGAGATCTGGATATGGAGAAAAAGCGACAGGAGCGACAGGATAAGTACCAGCGTGATCTACAGGAAATAGATGATGAAATTGACCATCACCGGCGTGTCATGAAATACGACCAGGAGGAGGCAGATCAGGCAAAAGAACTTGCAGAGAAGAAATCTCACCTTGAGAGTCTGAGGCAAACAAAAGCCAGAATGGAAGCCTCAAAAGCCGCAGCCAGCAAACAAAAGAACGTCAGCAAGGCTGAACAAGAGAAGAGTCAACAGAAGCAACTCTCTTCCAATTATGCGGATCTGGATCTCCCAGCGCAGGAATGGGAGGACATGAAGCGAGATGAGGGAGCTCACAACGACGCCTTGGATGATCTTATGGGACTCATTGGTCTAGAGTCAGTCAAGAGGGAATTTCTCTCAGTCAAAACCAATGTTGACATCAAAATCCGCCAAGGGGTGGCTCTGTCTGATACAAGGCTTAGTTGCTCGCTCCTTGGAAATCCTGGGACAGGCAAAACAACCGTGGCCCGTATATGGGGAAAGTTCCTCACCGGAATAGGAGCCATTCCCGGTGATGCCTTCAAAGAGACTACAGGGTCAAAACTGGCAAACATGGGTGTCAAAGGTTGCGAAGATTTGCTGGAACAGATTAAAGAAGATGGCGGCGGTGTCTTGTTCATCGACGAAGCCTATCAGCTTTCATCTGGCAATAGCCCAGGCGGCAAAGCGGTCTTGGATTATCTTCTTGCTGAGGTTGAAAATCTTCGTGGAAAGGTTGTCTTCGTACTTGCTGGTTATTCCAAGCAGATGGAATCTTTCTTTGCACACAATCCTGGATTTCCCAGTCGATTTCCCATCACAATGAACTTTGAAGACTATACCGACAAGGAGCTGCTACGGATTCTTAAACGTCAGGTGAATCGGAAGTACAATAACAAGATGGAGATTGAAGATGGTCCGGACGGCCTTTATTTCCGAATTGCCGCTCGCCGAGTTGGACGAGGTAGGGGCAAGGAGGGATTCGGTAATGCGCGAAGCATCGAGAATTGCCTTGCCCGCATAGAGAAAAGACAGGCAAACCGGATTCGACTGGAGAGCCGGGCCAAGAAATCTCCCAATGACTTCCTCTTTACTAAAGAAGACATTATCGGCCCAGAACCATCACTGTCTCTGCAGAGTTGCAAATCATGGAAAAAGATGAATGAAATGATAGGGCTCAAGGAAGTGAAAGAACAAGTAAAAATCTTACTCGACTCGCTGACGACCAACTATGAACGTGAACTTGCTGAAGAGCCCCCGATGGAGTTCACGCTCAATAGAGTTTTCCTTGGGTCTCCTGGGACAGGCAAAACGACCGTCGCTAAGCTATATGGCGAGATTCTCGCAACCCTTGGCCTCTTGTCTAATGGAGAATTGGTAATGAAAACTCCCGCAGACTTCATCGGCTCTCATCTTGGGCAATCAGAATCCCAGACGAAGGGTATTCTTGCCTCTACAATCGGCAAAGTACTCGTAATTGACGAGGCATACGGGTTATATGGCGGAAAGGGAGTTACCGATCCTTACAAAACAGCTGTTGTGGATACAATTGTCGGGGAGGTTCAGAATGTGCCCGGTGATGACCGTTGCGTCATTCTCATAGGCTACCAGGAACAAATGGAAGAAATGTTCCAAAATGTCAATCCGGGACTAAGTCGACGATTCTCAGTTGACACACCATTTGCCTTTGAAGATTTTGACGACGATGCGCTAAGAAAAGTACTGGATCTCAAGCTAAAGGCTTCAGGCTTCACGACCACGGGCGAAGGCAAAACAGCTGCACTTGATGTGCTCATCAGAGAACGAAACAGGCCTAATTTTGGAAATGGAGGCGCAGTCACAAACCTTTTGAGCAGAGCAATGACTTCTTACCAAAAGCGGTATTCGGACGGAAAGATAAAGAGGAACCAGTTGGAGGCAGAAGATTTTGACAAAGATTTTGACAGAGCCACGAGAAAGGAGACAAACGTGAAACAGCTCTTCCAAGACGACATTGGGCGCGAAGAGATTATCCAAAAACTTGAGAGCATTCAGTCGCAAGTACGACAATTGAAGGCTCTTGGAATGGACGTCAAGGAAGAGATCCCATTCAACTTCCTATTCCGAGGCCCGCCTGGTACAGGGAAAACAACTACGGCACGAAAAATGGGCAAGGTCTATTATGACATGGGCTTCCTTTCTAAAGCTACAGTGGAAGAATGCTCAGCTACGGATTTAATTGGGCAGTACGTCGGCCAAACCGGACCGAAAGTTCAAAAAGTTCTCGAAAAGTCGCTAGGGAGGGTGTTGCTCATTGATGAGGCTTACCGATTTGCTGGGGGCGGATTTGCCCAAGAAGCCATCGATGAGCTTGTCGGCCTCATTACAACGCCGAAATACCAGGGCAAGCTCATTATTATCTTGGCAGGGTATGAACACGATATAAATCGGCTTTTGTCTGTGAACGCCGGATTGACAAGCCGCTTCCCTGAAAGTATCGACTTTAAGCCACTCAAACCAGATGCCTGTTTCCGACTGCTTGTTGACCTTCTGCGGAAAAGGAAAACAGAAATCTCGAGTAAGGGGAAGAAGAATTTGGATATCAGCTGCTTGGAAACCCCCTCTGCATTGTTTCTCGGCGAATGCACAACCATCTTTGCTGAGCTATCAAAAGCAGATGGATGGGCGAGTGCAAGAGACGTAAAGCAGCTTGCCAGAAACGTCTTCCAAACCGTAAACTTGGAGTCGCCGTCGCTCAAATTGGAAAGGAAGGGAGTTATCCAGGAGCTCAATCGGATGCTACGAGACCGTCAATCCAGGATGAACAAATCTGAATCCCCTGTTCCTATGGATGAGGAAACAGAGTCTTCGTCCGCGCCACAGGCCGCCAGTCGAACCAGCACTAGTGTACAAGCTCAGCAATCCACGACTGCGGATCAACGGCATAATACAGAAGATCCGACCGAAGAAGCGAATAAAGAGCCTGAATCACTGGATGATGAAGAATCTCGGCGAGTGGTGCGAGACGCGGGTGTAAGCGATGAAGTATGGGAGCAGTTGCAAAAAGATCAAGCCAAGGAAGAGCGCAAAAAAGCGGAATATCGCGACCTATTGGAAGCCAGAAAAAGCGCCGAAGCCGCTCGCAAAAAGATTGTACAGGAATTGATCAAGGAAGAAGAGTTGAAAGAAGAAGAACGTCTTAAACTCGAGGAAGCAAAGAAGAAGGCCGAAGCCGCGCGCGAAAAGATTTTACGGCAGCTCATCGAACAAGAAGAAAGGAGGAAAAAGGAAGTAGCGAAACAGGCAAAAATCAGGGCTCTTGGAATATGTCCAGCGGGATTTGATTGGATTAAACAGAATGGAGGTTACCGGTGTTCGGGGGGGTCGCATTTCTTGTCCGATGCTGAGATTGATAAACATATGCAGTAGATTGAGTTAGATATATGCATGAATTTCTTTATTCGCTTTTGACCTTCATAATTTCATGCACAAAATTGCTACATCCATTGAGAGAGACTATTGAAGTAGATGGAAACGGAGTAATATGGTTGATACCGTGTTGCGACTGTACAGGTGATAGTGATCAGTTCGGTCATCAGTATTATAGACTCAGTGATCTTATTTTTGTTTCTTTGAGTTGTCGTCCTCTTTGATGCGCTTGACATACAATTTTTCTATAGCAACATTAACAAATGGAGCAGTTATCCAGGGCTCCGACGACTGCGTGGAGTTTGACCACCGAAACCAGATGTGAAGTAAGTTTGTGTGCTTACCACTACAGGCTAATCTAGGTAAATACTAGATATCAAGTACCGGCTGTTGAAGTCTCTGCTGCTATTACTACCTTCTACTACTACCACTATGTTCCTCGAGTATTTATTACTATAGCTACATTCATCCAAGCATGTGTTATATGGCTATATGCTTGTAACATCTGTATCGTAGCTATATTGACGTAGTATCCGGTACTATTTCCGAAATGGGCTACTAGATAGCAAAATGGGCTGCTGAGTTGGCATTTTCGTAAAGCAGGCCAACAGCGCATTCCGAGAGATAGAGCATGTATGCAAAAGGGCGTATCTAACCAATTGACAGTCGCCATTTTCATCTGCAGCTTAAATGTGCTGCAATCAATCCATACTTTCCACCATAACAAACGTAAAGCCGTCATCACAACCTCGCCTTCTCCTCACCCACTCGTGTTTGTAAGGTTGCATCGTCACATCACTCCCCCGCTTCTTCGGTTACAAGGACTCGGGGTAACGGTGCCCTCCGCAACAAGACATTTCAACTCAAAGAAACCGCCACATTTTTTCTTTTTGTTTCATACAACTCAGTCAACTACGTAAATTGTTCACGGATAAGCGAAATGTCGGAAGATATAGCGCCCTTTACAATTGCCATCCCAGACTCTGCGCTGGAGCAGCTAAAGAACAAGCTCTCTCAAGCTACATTTCCAGCTGAATCCGACTTCTCCGATGACCAAAACTATGGTGTGTCCTTGAGTACTGTGAAGCGGTTGACCGAATACTGGAAAGACGGCTTCGATTGGCGAGCTTACGAAGCGAAATTAAACCAGATTCCTCAATTCACGACGAACATTTCTGTGGACGGACATGAAGAACTTAACATACACTTCATACACCAAAAAAGCAGCCGACCGAATAGCATTCCACTGCTCTTTGTTCATGGATGTAAGTCAGCATCAACTGTCCACCTCGAGTATCTCGAAAGTACTAAGGCTTTTTCCCCAGGGCCTGGCAGCATCGTAGAAGTGACGAAGATTATACGAGCACTTTCGGAACCCAAGGGTGACGATGTACCGTCATTCCATGTTGTAGCGCCGTCTCTACCAAATTTCGGATTCTCCGATAAGGCTACAAAGAAGGCTTTTGGTATTCAGCAATACGCTGAGTCGATGCATAAAGTCATGCTTAAGCTAGGATATGACAAGTACGGTACGTAAACATTCTGATCTTGTTCTTTCTCCTCCAAATATTATACTCAAAATTGGTACTCATATTTTTGTGATTCATTAGTAACGCAAGGCGGCGACTGGGGTTTCCTCATCACCCGTGCCATCGCTCTTTATTATCCAGATCATTGCCTTGCCGGCCATGTCAATGTTATAACTACCAGGCCGACACCCTGGCGATCTTTTGTGCTTGCTGTGCAATACTATCTCGGCTTACTATCCGAAGATGAACAAAAGGGTATATTCCGCTCATTCTGGTATCTTAAACATAGTTCAGGATACATGCTCCTACAATGTACGAAGCCCAATACCATTGGGTTCGCACTGGCGGATTCTCCAGTCGCGCTACTAGCATGGATATACGAGAAACTGCAAGAATGGACCGATGAGTACCCTTGGACCGATGACGAAATTTTGGAATGGATATCCATATACTTCTTCTCCCGCGCGGGCCCTGCGTCCAGCGTGACGATATATTACGAGTTGATTGGCCAGCAGAAAGATGAAATGTACAAGGTGTCGGACTATGTCCCCAATGTTCCTCTTGGCATTTCACTCTTTCCAAAGGACGTCTTTGTGCCTCCGAAATCATGGGGCGGATTCCTTGGTCCAGTTGTCTTTCAGGCAACTCATAAAAAAGGTGGGCATTTCGCTGCGTACGAGTGTCCCGATGAACTTGTCAGCGACTTGAGGCAGATGTTTGGTAGACAAGGCGGCGCTGCCAAAGTCGCTCGTGTTTTTGAGTCTGCTTGACGAAACAGTTGGCACAAAATATCAGCATATGGAAATCTTCAGAATGCAAACAATCTTCAATATGATTTGCTATACTCCCTACACACCCGAGGATCCCGCAAGGAATGTGATTAAGCCTTGTCATTGCGCCGGTATATGCATGTGAATGTACAAAGAAAATAAAGCCAATCAAAACTCCTCGCTCAAATGCTTTCAGACAATAAAATATCTAAATTAAAAAAAAACAACTCTACAAGTTGTATGAGTTTCTCATTGCGACCCGGATTTCTCGGATTGAGGTCCAGCCTTTTCCCGGTGATTTGCTTCCTGTCGCGAAAGAGCAAAATATGTACCGAGCAGCTCAGCTGCATAACGTTCTCGATATTTAAAATGCATTGATCCGATTTTCCGCACCGTATCCTGAGCGACTTGAATGATTGCAGGATGCTGATCAGTAGGTAAAGCCAAGAGAGATAGAAGATCGATTTCGATTTCTGTCGGGGCATTGGTAAAACCAAGAGTCTTCCGTAGCGCTTCATCTTTTACAAGTCGTTGGCAGAACGGCTCCAGCAGCTCATATTCCTGGATAAACGCAAGAACAGACTTTAGAGATGTTGGGTCCGAAACAAAGGCGTTGATGGGCGTCTTTTTCTGTTCCCTAATCTTGCCTTCCGCTCTGGAAGCAAACTCCAAAGCAGTGGAAAGCGAATCGACATTCATGACTGACAGCCCGGCGGGTACCAAATCTCGGCGCGTATAACCTGCTCTTGTACGCCACCAATAGTTACAGAATAGAGAAGATAAGATGACGGGAATGAGCACAACATATCCCCACCACCTCGTTGCGGTGACCATGGATCCAGCGCCTCCCACGAGCGTGGCAGTACCGTTGATGGAGGTGTAAATTTGCAGATTTCTGCTGCGCCTCTTGATCAGAGCCAAGGCTCGTGTGCCAGGGATAGCTTTCGATGCGGCATTGATGTGTCCTTGGGCCTTGCAAAAGATGTAATATGCCCAGAAAGCGTTGATGGTACCAAATAGGGCAATGGGAGCGTTACCAACGTATCCAGAAAGAAGGTTACTGGCCAAGAAGATGGCATCGTTGGCTCCAGCAATGGCAAGATATGTGCCCACGCAGATGAGGACGGCACCAGCGCCCATAAACATGTTGAGTCCCCAGCGGTTGATGGCCTCGGTGCCAAGTTCACGGAACAAGACAGACAACAGCACATCCAGGTCCCTAGTGGGCTGAGACCTCGCTACTCTGCTGGCATGCGCTGCTTTCAGTTCATGTTGCTGCTTGCGAAGGAACTTGACGTTCCGCCAGGCACGCCTTGAGTCAAGAAGGGCAAAGACAGACATGATGCCGGCAAACGTCGCTCCAACCGCCATGAAGACAATGGCATACACCGGCACTGGATACTGGTTCCACACATTGGCGGCGAAATCGCCAGCGTTGGCTAGCTCCAAGAGGCCAACCGCGGGATAGAGATTGTTGTTAAGCTTGCTGCCTTGGGGCACATAGTCATCCCCTTTCTCGGCCTTGACTAGGGTGACGCGATCTGGCGGCACCGATTCCGGGATCTCACATGCAGGAGCAGTTGAGAACAGACCATAGGAGGAAGATCCGGCGGTCAATGTGGTAAGGGTAGAAGAAAATGTGCCGGCACGCGGCAAGACGACCGCCTTTGGTGCTTCAAGAGAGGCGTCGACTTTCTCGTTCAATGCAGGAGTGTGGGCTTTCTCTGGACGAGGAATGTGCTGCTGTTGCTTTTCCTGCTGTTGTTGTTGTTGCTGTTGCTCATTTGCCTCGTGAGACAACTGTTGGCGTGCATCATTCCGATGATCTTCTGGAGGGATAGCAACGGGATCATCATTCTTAGTACCGGCATCAGCAGCATCAGCAGCATCAGCATCAGAGCTAACGGCCGCCATGTGTGCTGTCCGCTCTGTCGTAGCACCATCATCGGGACCTGACGGAGCGTGCCGTGGTTCCTCAATTGAGGCTGTGTCGCTCTGGATTGAAGCCATGGGGCAGGCAGAGGGCGTGCCAACTAGAAGACAGAAGGAGGCAGTGTCGACCGTCTGAGAAGTAACCGACTCCTCAGCGGACAAATAGTAATGGAGAAAACACAGAGGAGAATCGGAAACTGGAAAGGTGAAAAGAATTAGATTGGAATGACGGGAAGGAGCAGTAGCGAAGATCCGCTCGGGAAACAAGATCAGCACCTCATCTCCAGATTTTGCTTCTCTTTATCTCCGGCCCTCGACTTGAAGACTGTGCATCTCTCTGTCTACTGGACTTTCCTCATATTTCATAGATATCAGTCCACGAAAAGGGGCAGGCAAGGGAGCAAGAGGCCACAAAATAAAGAAAAAACCGACCAGGGAGCAGCCTTGATTTCTTGTTGATGGCGCATCTCCTGCCGTTCAGCCGTCACCTAGAAGACGAATCCAAGAGCCCTTTGTCTTGTTCTAGTTTAACACCAATTCTCGCCGCCGTCTTACGAGTCCTGGCGAACCGGAGCTGCCGCTGCCTTGCCCCATCAGCCAGCCACGGCGTCCAATAACTCAAGGGCTCAGCGCGCGCCCCATTCCAAGCTTCGGCCGTTCGGCATGTGGCTGACTTGGTGGTTTGGTCTTTTTGGGGTCTCGGCTCTTTTTGTGCGCCCCAGGGCGGGATTGGCAGAGCTGTCAATGGACAAGTAACTACTGGGATGCATGCGCTTGTTACTGTATCCTCTTGTGTCACTTGCTGTACAAGTAAATTAGATGGAGTCTACTGTACGTCTTGATTATTGCTTCATGTTGCCTCAACTACTTGCGCTGTATCTGTCAATGAGACACGTCGTCTTCTCACTTCTCACCCATCAACGCCCACTTGATGCTGTAAACCCAATGGCACTATTTCTTTGTAAACAGGCAAAACGCCATTCATAGTCAATTGCCATGAACGCGCGGCGGCCCATATCTTCGGAAATCGAAGCGATCGCCGGCGCAGAGCTGCCGCCACCGGCCAAACCTTGGCGGCCAGCCCGCTGGGAGCTACAGGCACAAAAAGACTCTGGAGAAGCCATCGAGAACCAGCGCCATGACACACTTGGACATTTATTTTGAACATTGTCCATCAGCATCGGGGAAACTGCATCTGAGCATCGGTATCTTGAATTTCACCGCCCTGGCGTTGCCAAGTTACTCCTAAAAATATCCCGAAATCAGCAAATACGAGTCGCGGGTGCCGTAGATCGGCGAATTGCCGTTCCGTGTCATCAGCCCTACTGATGATGTCTGCTTTGTCGCCATTGGCCCCTTGACGTCATAAACAGCATCGTGTTGATTCATTACTTCTATCAATAACTGCATCATCTCACAAGTCAAGTCTTTTTACTCTCAACCTACATGCGGCAGATGCAGATTCTTCTTTCCATCACGCTTCATTCTCTGCATTCTCTCAGCCCTCTCTTTTGCTTCCCAGTCTCGTCAAAGTTACTTTCATCCAGCCAGATTTCGAACCCCTTCTGCACAGCAGGCCATTCATCATCGATTATACTCAACCAAGCCGAGTCCCTGCGTCTGCCCTTCACAATCATATGTTTCCTGTAAACCCGCCAAGAAAAATTAGCATATCCACTATACCGTAATGAATGGGCCTTTTCTTTTGCGGTTGATGTTTGATCATAATCTCACCTGAAAATTCCCTCGTACGTAAAACCCAGTCGCCGAGCCGCTGCCAAGCTCGGCCCATTTAGATGATTGGCCTTCCATTCGACACGTAGATATCCCAGATCCATAAATGAATGCTTCATGAACAAGAAAAATGCCTCCGTCGCCTCCCTGGAGTGCTTCAGAGCGTCGCCCAGAATCACCCATCCAATCTCAATTCTACGGTGGGTTGGAACGATCGACAAGTATGACAGGATGCCTGCCGGCTCCGAAGCGGGATCGGAAGCTGGACCCGAAAGTACCGCGTAGTATAGGGGATCGGCTGAAGCGCACCAAGTCTTGATCGTTAACTCACATGCCTCCTCGGTAAGGAGTCCCTCAAGCGGCATGTACTTCCATCTCCAGGCGTTGTCTTCTCCCCCAAGATGTTTGTATATCGCTCGCCAGTGCTCAGGCTGTAGCGGAACCACAGATGTGTAGCGGCCGTGGAGAGGCGTCCGTGGCGGTAGAAGGGCCGGTTCAGCTGACGCTACAGGCGGTCCGAGCGAATCATCCATGATCGGGGTATTTTGAACGCCAAGAAACAAAGTTTTATTTAGGCTGATGAGCACGGCTTGGAGGATTCAACTTTGTTTTCTTTCTTCTCCAGCTTTCTGGTTCAGCTGTTGTTTATAGCCATGTGAAGATGAGGCGGATGACTCATGTGTAGCGAAATGCCACTCAAAGGGCGCCGCTACCCTGGGTCGTAAAAAGAAGGCTTCCATTGTTTATTCGGAATAGGCAATCTTCCATTAGCGTTGCTATCTAATTACTTAGTAGAGTTAGATTGACGGCGCATGTTTTCTCGTCAAATGTTCTTCATATCCATCCAAGTATACTCTCCGAGACAGTTCATGGAGTTTCTACCTCGACCACAAAATTGAGCGTTGTTTTGACGGAGCGTATCTGTAACTTATGTTCATCTTTCTTGAACTTCGCACAACCGCAACGGAGTCTAAAAGTCGACTCCGAGACATATTTAATCGTCACCTATTTATCTCGCCTCAGTGGGCCAGTCCACACTCAGGGGGCGATTCCTCGTAACCCACAAAGCGGCCCCATCAGTGGGGCAAAAGTCGAGCAAGTAAATACCGAGTTGGGAGATGCGCAAAATAATCGGAACTATTCCGTACAAAGATGATATATATCGCAGAAGTATAATAAAGTCAGCATTCATTAGCATATTACCTACTTGAAAGCCAAGTAATTGTAGGCATGTCGAGATCTGTTCTTTATACATACTCGGGGGTGGTAAAAGGCTGTCTCTTACGCACTTCACATGGCAATTCGTCTCATCGCAGTCAGAAACAAAGTCTTGTTAGCGTTATCAAAGTCACAATTGCGAAATTGCAGATTGGGAGAGTATTCATGGAGGATAAATGTCACATGATGAATTCCGCTGCAGATAATTTGTAAGAAGGTGAAAATTAATGAAAGCAAAAGGTCACTCCAGCGGCTCTTACCCATTCATCATATGGCAAGTGCACATATAAGCTTCTCCGCGTTGCATACTATATCCTACCTTTTCTCAAACTGTGTAATTCTACAGATATAACTTCGATCAAGGTGTTAAGATACAGATGTATCCATGCAGATCAACCCTGGCTACAGATGGGGTACGGCATTCAACTGTTCGACTCGATGAATACACAACTGTTTGTCTTGGAAGTTTAGCCCCTGATATGATGGTACCACAGAGAGACCATCTTAGGGGCCGAGAGGTCAATTCTAGGTGTACAGTAACTTCACTGATGGTTATCGATGAACCCCTCGAGCTCCATCATCATCTCACACTCTATTTGTCACTGTTTTGCAACTAAGTCGGGGTTAACAATCTCTCATTGAGTGTGTACGGCTAATCTCTCCATCACCAACTACCGTACATCAAAAAAATCTCCAAAGTGAAGCCTTTGTCAAGCCATTAAAGCGGATTTAATGGTGGCGGCGGTGTCTCTCGAGCCACTCCTTCCACTGCTCAAACCAAGCATTGCTGGTGTCCCGGTGCCAGCAGCAGCCGACGCCAATGATTCCGCGGCCGCCACAAGGCAGGTCAACGCTGAAGTCACCCCGGCCCGAGCAGAATCCAAGGGTCGTGGCCTCGCAAGTGCCGCCAACGAATTCACAAGGGTTCTCGGGGAAGCGGAAATCAGCGAGGTCATCGATATCGAAGTCGCCATCGAACCAGGGTCCGAAAAATCCAAAGGGTCCGAAGTTGTTGTTGGCCATAGCTCCTAGAAAGCGTTTAGTATGAAGAATATATATGAATACATGTAAAGTTATGCAATGACGAACCGGAGAACGTAAGGCTAGTAGTGATGTTAGCATTATGTACACTTGTTGAATAAGGGGTTCATGTTCTTACCCGAGGACAGTGAGGACCGCAGTATAACGCATTTTGAATGAGTTATAAACCTTGAATGAAGATGCTGTTTTTTTGTTTATCGACTCAGGTGCAGGAGTCTTTTGCTAATTGACTGAGGTGCAGATGAAAAGATGTTTGCATTTGGGGGAGAAACGGTGCAATATATACTCGATATCGCCAGGCGTTTCTACTCCCTTGGCATCTGATTACGTGTTTATTCACAGTGTTTATGCAGTGTTGATGGAGACAGAATTCCTAGCATGCAGGTTTAATTCCATCTCAAGGCGAGATCGAGGTCTGCTGATTGATCGATTCGAGGTATTCATCTATAACAGGTAAGGCTGACATGTGAACGTTATAGTAAAAATTTCCCTAACGACTCAGACATGTCGCACTCAATTGATCATGCCGTCTCTATAGCAGTGTACGTAGGGCAGATGTCTTAACCTATCGCTCGACTATAGTGAGACACGATGACGATCCTTTACGGTTAGGAAATCTCTGACAGGATCAACATTTATGGCCACTCCAGGCGATACTACAACCTTGTAGTAAGTCATGATAATTGGTTAAATCATCAAAACACAGCTATGCTGTAATAAAGTCAAGATATGCAAGTTGTTACATCGTTTGGGATCAACCAGTTAAAGCTTAAGATCTTCGATAATCTCAATCATGGCCCTACTATCTGCTTCCTGCTCCAGTGCTGGAATGCAATCTGTCGCAGATTATCCATTCCCCACAAATCCTGCTCTGAGTGAGTGTAGTGATATGATTCGGTAAAGATTTGATGAATGTGTATAGTGATGACGAATACTAAGTATTTGGCCGCCAAGGATACAGATAGTTACAGCAGCCTTTTCTATTTACCTTTTCTATATTTGGTAAGAGGAAAAGGGCCGGAGCATACTGTCCTATCCCTTAGAGCAACATTGAAGTAGAAGCGTTTAAACTCTAGAGTAAGCATAAATCAAGGTTACGGTGAGGGGGGTCAACATGCTTTACATCACATGCAATTTATAACATACGTAATGAAACAGTTCATATATAAGCACGGCATGATCAATTCAAACTAAGCTAAGCCTTATCTACATCTAAAGGAATGTTCGACCCCAAGTTAGTCCCATCATCTCTCAGATTCGGTAACTCTCATGTAAAACATGCTTGCGTGCTGTGCTTCTTTCTTTTTTCATTGGCTTGCTTTCCTCGTTTATCCGGAGGGGTTGCCGTTGAAGGCAATAGCGTTAATGGTACCGGAGGGGACACCAGAAAGGAGGCTGCGTCCAGAAAGCGCCTGGATACGCGCGCAAAGTGCCTGGGGGTCTCTGGGACCCTCAAGAGCAAGAAGGTAGGCACCAAGGCCAACAATGTGAGGAGTTGCCATGGAGGTACCAGAGATGGTGTTGGTCTGTCTGTTGGGCCAGGTGGAGAGAACATCCTGGCCAGGGGCAAAGATATCTACAACCGTGCCGTAGTTGGAGAAGGAGGCTCGAGCATCAGCAGAAGTCGAGGCGCCGACAGTGCAGACGGTGGGCTCGGAAGCGGGAGAGGTGTTGCGAGCATCCGCACCATCGTTACCAGCAGCGACAGCCAGGAAGACGCCGGCATCGATCAGGGCAGCAGCAGCCGCGTTGACAGAAGCGGTGTAGCCACCACCGAGAGACATGTTGGCGACGGAGCCGTTGGGGCAGTTTCGGGTCTGCGAGTCGTCGGCAACGAAATCCATGCCGGCAATCACGTTGGCGAATGTACCGCTACCAGAGTTGTCGAGAACCTTGACGCCGTAGATCGAAGTCTGCTTCGCAACGCCATAGGAGCGGCTGCCAATGGTACCAGCGACGTGGGTTCCATGGCCGTTGCCGTCAGTGTTCTGGCCTGAAACAAAAGTCCTCAAGAAAGTAGCACGACCCTCGAAGTCCTATATAAAGGCCCCTTGTTAGCTTCTGGTGATTTCTCAAGTTGTCTTCTTCAAAGCTCAAGCTTCACGTACGGGGTGAGTAGCATCAACTCCAGTGTCGATGATGTAGGAGCAAGTCCCCGCGCCAGCGCTGTCATCATAGACATAAGTGGTGCTGCCACGAGCCTTGTGGGAAATACGGCCCAGGCCCCATGGAGCGCCAGTCTGCGAAACATAGGCGTTCACCTTGACAATCGCATCCTGCTCAATGTACTCAACCTGTTCAAAAGAGTTGTAAGCACGTCTGCCTTTCTGTTTAAGATCGTTTCAAAGGGACTTTTACTTACATCAGGGTGGCTGCGAAGAACGTCGAGTGTCTCCTGATCTAGAGTTGCGGCGAAGCCCTTGAAAACATGCTGATAGACATGGTGGGCGTCGGAGGCAATCTTGGTAAGAGTCTCATCCACAGCCTGGAGAGAGCTGCCATCCTTGAACTTGACAATGTACTGATCAGCAACAAGGCCGTGCTTGCTGGTGGGAGTGAGGAGAGGTGCAGGAGTTGCTCGCTTCTCGGTGGCTGGGGCGGCCAGCACCATGGGAAGGAGAGAAAGAAGGACGGACAACCGCATTTTGAAGGATGGGGGTTGAGCTTTTGTCTTAAGGGTATAACTTTTGAGAGTGAGAAGGTATTTGGAGACCAGATCTGATGTCCTTGAAGCTTGTGTTGATGATCCAAGGATGAAGAGAAGGGACAATCATCAAGACTCTCACCTCTATTTATGTGTTTTCCTCGAGCCTAATATCTTCATGATGGACACTATGATGTTGCCGAGAATCCCGAGAATCCAAAAGTTGAGTTCGAGCCTTATCTTCATCACCTTCCTCGTCTGGAAGCTCTGTACGAGCCCAATCCATATTGTAACACTAAATACTTCTCCCCGAGACACCAATAGTCAATATACTATGGTGGTTTGGGAAGTCCACCGATGTTGCATGGCTATCTATTGGTGCCAAGGCAGATTGCGAGACTGTCAAGACAAAAGTACGCATGTACGATGCTGTAATTGTGCTGAAAGCAGACCATCCACGGCAGCTGTGATAATGTTGGGGCATTTTCCACGAACCTCTATGCTGCTTCGATGGCGAAGTCAACAATGAATGAGGCTAATATTAGGATAGACTGGTTCTTGGATAGACAAAAATGACGATGCTACCTCAATGGCCGTCACGTTGGCACATCGGACATGGGTCTAGCTTGTCATACAAGGCACTTTCATCTGAACTTTTCTGTATTAGCATTAGGATATAGGAGTTTATAGAACATCATGGCAAACTCGCGTTCATAGCACGCTTTTCGGTGTTGTATCTAGCGTCTGGATGCAACACTGCCTATCAATACGGGCCAGCAGACCCCGAGCCTTTGTAATACTGATGTAACTCACCTCCTATAGGGCTTCCACGACCAAGAAGTCGTACCAGATGCTATTAATTCCCATCTGCATGGATCTCTATGAGAGGGCGGCTTTTGGGTACCAATGTCTCAATACTCAGGGAATATTGCGTATCTGATGATGTGAGCCGCATACGCGAAGTCACAACATGCCAAGAGAATAATGGACGCTGTGCAAGAAATTGCGATCGTTGCCCTTCCTCTTCATGCGATAGGCCGTTTTAACGGTTGGGTTGGGAATCATACGAAAGGGGAGCAAATTTATTGCCCCCGCCTCCATCTTCTTATCACGGAATAATGATCATGTCCTTACGTTCAAATACCGCGAGCCAACCAGAATGCCAGCTTCATTTCAACGGCAACGGCATCCGCCACACCAACTCATGTTGATTGATAACTACTCTGGGGGAGCGGCCGCTTCAAAGGCACAACGGCCGGGTATGCTTCAAATATCCGAGGGGTGTGGCTGTGGCCCCCATCCTCGCTTTGCCGCCCATATATTCATGCACAAGCGTTATCCCACGCTCTATAGTTTAGATCCCGAAAATTCTTATAGCCTTTGGGCCCATGATAACAATCTCTGGTCGTTGCCATGTCCATTCGTCAACAGCATGATGTAGTTGCGTGCCATCAGATCCCACTTGCGGGGTATCCTGATATCTGCCATAACGCAGACTATTACATAGGATAGCATGTGAAGAGACCAGAGCCGTAGCTTCAGGTAGCGGCATTAAAGTCTCCGAAAAGAACGTTATACAATAAAGTTGTAATTGTTGGGCACGTCAGGAGGGGCTCGATAAGATGAGCTTCCTGATGGAGATGGTGGCCGTTGATGGTGGTCGATCTTCAGAATGGCCTTCCCATTTAAAGAGCTCGCCGATATCTGATTCCAGGCACGCACCACTTGGAGAAGTGTAAGCTCGGAAATTTAATGTTGAATACCGGGACTCCGAGACGGGAGGGCGAAGCCGAAAGGGTCGCCATCTTATGGCTTGTCCAATGCAATAGGCTTCGTAGATTTGTTTGTCTCGCTGCTGGCTGCAAATATAAGCTGCAGCACTCATATTCCTCTCAGATGAAGATACCCTATGATATCAAAGAGTAACATCCATGTACAACCACGACGTGCTCCACAACCTTCCCAAGGGCGCCAGTCCATGTGCTTGACGCCGGTACAGTTCATGCAGCCTCTTTGCGATAATACGAACTGAGTTGTTTAAAAGGATCTTTTGCGCAGCGCATCAGTAAAGCGGAGGATACGAGGTAGCTTGATTGGCTGATGCAGTGCCTTCTAACTGTGTTGTAACCTCATCAATGCTACCGTGCGATCCAACTTTCGGATTCAGTGCCATTGTGAAGCGAGCTAGGAAGACGCCCACGCGTATAACCGCGCTCAGTACACATGCACCCCATCTCTGCCCGTGGGGTACTTAGGGGATTTAATAACCTTGCGATTGATGCTTGTTCAGAACCGTAAATACCTAAATAACCTTACTTGCAAGCGAGGGAGTAGGATGGAGTGGTTTTGCAGGATCACTCACCGTTCACTAGGTACGGATACAATAAGGAATGAAAGGGTCATGTTGCCAACTTGGCGAAAGAGAGAGCAATATTTACGAGCAGCGAATTACAACGGGAACCAGCTTTTAGTAGCTTCCGTGTCTTTCTTTGGGCCTACCAGTCACATCGTTGTATACAGTCTCAGATTGGCGGCTTGGCTGCCAAGAGCCATTAGTAGATAGTGACGCGGGAGGGTAGAGTAGTACGTGAAGCGGCAATTCATTGACAAGATTGCTCGGCTTACTTCGGCATGTTGCACAAACAGAAATACACCAAATGGAAAATCCGAGGTATGAACGCCTCTGTTCGCGGGTTCTTGTCTGCATGGGAACATTAAACCTTGTACTTTACCCACAAGATGTAACCAAATGATATCCCCCTCAATCCTATGCTCCAGTCTCCGCAATGCTTGCTACGCAAGTCTCTGCTTCTTTGTCCTATTGAAGTGGGCGTTGCCTCATAACCATTAATGTGATGTATAAGGATGCCGAAAAGGGCAGGTCGATAATACGAGAAGCGAGGTCGACGATGGTACCCCTACTTATACCAATTGCCTATTCTGAGCACCTTAGATAGTACCGCATCTCGTTTAAGAGACGGCATGAGCACGTGGGTACATGTATTCATAGTGAGGAGCCTCGTAGTGGTGCACGTGTAAATCATTCGGGGTCTTGTAGTACAATGCTTCGATGGTCCCTCCCTCCAGCAGGGATTTATGCGTCATGCGGTGCAATTTCGTTATTGTCCCTCGTTTCACTGCATAGCAGAAAAGATCACGACATAGCATCTGATATTTGCAGGGTAGCAGAAAACGCATTAGAGTAGCATCGTTATCACGTCTTCAACTGTTCGAGTTTGACTACAAGTTCAAGGAATGAATTCTATAGCAAAGATGACTTGCAGTATTCAAGTCAAATTTGTGGATCGAGCTATAACGCCTTGTGTCTCTACCAAGTTGTTGGTCATGATATGCATCGTACAGGCAGGTTGACAACATCTGAGTGCCATGGTAAGCCGGTCAAACTCAGAGTCAGCCACGCATTTATGCAGATACCAGATCTCTACCGTGCGGCTAAACGGTCGATCGGCCCCCAGATGGCTCCAGACTCTTTAGTGCAGACACTGCAGAGGCTAGACAATTAAGAGAAGACGCCTGTTCATAGTGATAGTGGACGCCGATTCATGGAGGTTTTCTCCATCCTGCAGCTGACGCGCCGCTTCCCACCTCTATTTTTACTGCTATCTGCTTCCCCGCAAAAGCTATTCCATCAGCTACAAACCCCCGGTGGGCATTGGCTGATGTGAACTCGAGTTTGTGCCTTTGTCTACATGTATTCAAACACTTCCCAACTGACAAACCCGTGAAGAAAACACGGAAGGTCAAGAGTAAGGGCTCATCATTTCATCACATCTGTGAATACCATCGAGAACCAATGCCCCGAGCATTGAATATAGCAGGTAAGCGCCTGGTGGTCAAACAAGACACTAGATTTGCCCCATTCCTTTGTTTCTTTGCATCTGAGTGTATACATACATACATGTATCCTGATATGCGTACTGTCACGTATGCAACGGTGTGTGCGTGTGTGTGTGGACATGTTATCTTTGCATCGACTCCCCTGCTTCCATACCCTGCCGCTGTTACTCTTACTGACCGTGTGGTATCACAGCCTGGTAAGCAATTTCTCTTCTTTCAGACTATCGACGCCAGTGTCTAATCATATCTGCCGTCGGCTTCCCCTTAACAGCGATACGTGCAGGCAGCGCAAAGTAAAATGTGAGTAGCACTGGATCTTGTCAGACCCCCCCATGGCTGCCTATCCACGGCTAGTTTTTCCAAAATATTCGCTCTCCCTGGTTATACACGCCGTTGGAATGACTGACATGTGCCCCCTTTCTTGACAGGCGACGAGGCAACCCCCATTTGTGGCCAATGCACAAGGTCGAGGAGATACTGCGCGCGTCCACAAAAATCATCTAGATGGCTGGCATATCATCATCCATCAGAACCAGCCGCTGCTGCTGTTAATGGTGCGTTTAGGCCGTGGTCAAACCTGAAGCCTTTTCATATTTTCTCAAAGCTCCCTTGCTACATCTCCCCGCAATTTCCCGCCTCCCCAGATCTCAAATATCTCGTCCTCCGAGCTGACTGAGCCGCTACATTCCGCAGGGGCCGCTGGAAGAAACAGATTCCCATCTCCCGAGAGTCCCCGAGATGCTCTTGAGCTGCCAGATGTGGCTTGGTATTTTCACAACTACATCACGGAGCTGGCCAAATGGTACGACCTTGGAGATGCCTTGCGTCAATTTGCCACAAAGGTGCCCGAGCTGGCCCTTGACGAGCCACTCCTTTTCAGCGCCGTGATTGCATTATCAGCTGAGCACTTGTGCCAGACAACGGGGCCCAAGATTGCAAGGGAAATGGCTGGATTCTACCACAGCCGTTGTGTCGCCTACCTCATCAAACTGGATGAAAAGAGCGAGTTGTTGACGAATGGCGTCGCGCTAGCTGCCGCCTGCTTGCTGCGGTCGTACGAGATTCTCGATGGTGAGCCAAGAGAATCCATTGAAACAGATGCAATTCGGGGTTCCAGAACCCAGCTAACATGGATCAGAGGACATTGACCCCAACAGACATCTCAGAGGCGCATACTCGTTAGCATCATGTGAAGGCTCCATTGCAGGGAGCCCCCCGGAAAGCCTCCTCGCCGCCGGGTTTTGGAACTACCTTCGGGAAGACATCACGTTTAGCTTGTTTGAGGGCTGCCCATTGAAGATGGACGTGACTGGATCCGCCGCTCCGAGATTGACGAATGGCCACGACCAACTCCACTCCATTTCGCTCATACTTGGTCAGATCATCAACAAGGCCTTTAGCTACCAAATCTCAGCAATTGAGTGGCAGCAATTCGTTGGCATGGTCCACGCCTGGCTCGATGAAATTCCACGACACGTCAAACCGTTTTCCAGAGGCCGGTCTGTGACTTTGTCAACAGTTGGCGAACTACCCAGCTTCTGGTTTCTACATGATTTTCACGGTATGTTGTTGCCTATTGCAAATCTCTCTGCTACTGTAGGTTCCACGTTGCTAATACTCGGATTTGCTTCGTATTTAGCATCTGCGAGGCAATACGCTCTTGTCTCGCTCTCGATTCTCGCCGTACTCGCACCGCCAAACCAGCTTTCATTCCTCCATTCAGTGGCAAACGATGTCAGCATTGTCGGCCATGAAACAAACAAAGAGGAGCTACTTGATGCTTATGCTCTCGAGATTTGTGGGATTGCCTTCACAACCAACATACCCTCGGTCATTGTAAACTCTTTCGGCCCTATTGCCTACTGTAAGTGGCCCGCCACAAAATCCATATTCCCCCCCTCGTTCTCCATCTGACGATGCAAAACCTTCCTAGGCGGCAAGTTCATACGGTCCGAACAAGCCAGACAAGAGGTCATACGCCGCCTATCAGCGTGTAAACGGCCCGTCGGATGGCCCGTCGAACGCCTGATCACCAACCTCAAGAGCTCATGGGCAGCCGCAGGACTCCCCGAGCTGGAATCCCCAACTTTTTCTGGGGAAGCGGGGCCGAGTCCGGGTCTGCTTAGTGACATGTCCCCCGCTTCGTATTAATCCAAGTGAGCAAGATATCCCGAGCTCGGGTTTCAGTATAGCATCACTTTGCTGCGGCCCCATGATGAGGAGGGAGGGTATAAAAGTGTAAATCTTTGCATCAATGCATGAGCGCCTTATCTTTTTTCAAGCTCTTATTCAATTGATTTATATCAGAAAAACTGCCTGCTCTCAGATACCACCCCATCACAAAGTTACGATGCTGGCAGTCCGATTTCGAGCGCCTCGACTCGTTAGTCGGGGTCTGGCGACGATTGCTTCTGCGACAAAGACTTCGCCAGCCCCAGGTCTTCACTGGCCTGCTGTGGTACGCCCAAGTGTCAGCGAGATAAAGAATGCCAGACTTGACGAGCGCAACCTCGAAAAGGCGGTGCGACACATCCATCAAGATGGTCTTGTGGTGATTGAGGATGTCGTACCGCATGAGGACATTGACAGCCTCAACGCCAAAATGGTCGAGGATGCCCGCGTGCTTCAGAACATGGGCGAAAAGGGGCCGTTCAACTACAACCAGGGAAACTTGCAACAAGACGCGCCCCCCGTCGCCGAGTTCTTTTACCCATCGATATTCACGAGTAAGATAGACTCCTCGACAGTACTGCGCCTGCGAAGCACCGCCTTCTAATAGTTCATTGTCTTATACAGATACTGTTGCTACTCAGGTCACTTCAGCTGTTCTCGGCCCTCGGCCCAAGTGGACGTTTTGCTCTGCCAACTCAGCCATGCCTCCCCTCCCCGGCGCCTCTCCTCAGCGACAGCCGGTGCACTCAGATGCCGATTTCGCTCACCCAGCACACCCATTCGCTCTTGTTGTCAACGTACCTCTAGTAACAATGACACCAGAGAATGGCTCGACCGAGCTTTGGCTGGGAACACACAAGACAGACCTTTCCTTTCAAGAAGGCGCACATGGAGAGCGAGCAAGTGGCCGAATCAAGGAGAACTTCTTGCGTGAGCGTGAGGCTGTCCGGCCACCTATCCAGCCCATCGTGAAGAAGGGATCGGTCGTGTTGCGAGACCTAAGACTGTGGCACGCTGGTATGCCCAACCCATCTGATCAGGTCCGGATCATGCTCGCCATGATCCATTTCGCCCCATGGTACCGGAATCCCATGAAGTTGCAGTTCGGAGACAACATGAAACCAATCTTGGAAAAGCTCGACCAGGAGGGCAAGTTGGGCTTGCAAGTTCCTATTGATTGGGTCAGCTCTGAGGAAGCGATGAAGACGTATCTGAACCGTGGTTTCGGGAACAGCTATGACTTTAACCAGGCTCCTTGAGCACGCTACTTCGGCTCGGGCTGTATTCATGTAATTAGCCTATGTACAAATCCTGTAATATACTAGTATCGTATCTTTCTAGAATGGACAGCAGTGGCATACACTCATAGCCGTTTAAGCGGCTGTACCTACGCTAATAATGCACAATTGATAATAGTTTCACAGTAGTCTGACGGTGGGCGCATCCGGTGTTGTTTGCCAGTTACCACTTCACATTCCGGAGTGTCTAGCAGATGAGGCCGACCGGGACCTTCTACTGTGAAGCGATCCGCGCCCACATTGTTGAGAATCAGCGAGTCATAGGCAGATATAAAATGAATATTTCAGTATTATGACGGACAAATTAAAAGGCTTCTCTACCAGATTCTCCGACTTAGGCAATCCAGAACCAGATCCTCTCCAGGAAATTACGTGGCACTGGCTTGACCCACGTAGATTCTAGTCTATCAATCTCGGCTTTTCCTGACCATAGATCCATCTCTGCCAAACCAACAAACTTTGTCTTCTTGACAAGTTTGTAACCGAAAAATAAGCACAAAAAGATGGGAATGTCAATATATGGTGGGATGAACGACTTGGCACTGAATCGGCCGGGGAAGAAGCAGTCGAATCCATTGAACAGTGCGATAACAAGACAGAAGACAATGGAAAAGTAGCCCAAAAAGGGCTGGAATGGACCTTTAAAGGGTAGAGTATCACGATCGATGCCGTTGTATCTGAGGGCGTAGTAGAAGCGGAGGTACATGAAAGACACGCTGGCCCAAACGATGAGCGTACTGACAGCACTCAAATTGCTGATCCAGAAGAAAACCTCGGCAGACCCATTGTTGACGTTTAGGTAGACGAGACAGCTCAGCGCCGTGGTCAAGGCCACACAGGCATAGGGCACACCAAACTTTTCATACTTGAGAATTGCAGGGGCTTTGCCGTCCAAAGCAGCCGAATAGAGCACTCTGGTGGAAGCATAGAAGAAGGAGTTGCCAGCTGACCAGGCAGAAGAGAGAACAACTGCGTTGATAATATGCGGAAGGACTTTGATACCGGCATTCTTGATCGCAATAACGAATGGGCTGGCACCGGCACCCGGAGCAGAGTTGTCGATAGCATTGAGCAAGGAGGGATCCTCAGATGAGACACAAAGGCCAACAAGGAAGATTGAAAGGACGTAGAAGATAAGGATACGCCAAAACACTCGTCGAACGGAGCGCTTAATGTTTCGTCGCGGATCCTTAGTCTCACCCGAGGCAACCACCACAATCTCGCTACCACCATAGGCAAAGGTGGCTGAGATGAAGACCTTGAAGAAAGCAAGGAAGCGCCCTAACGCACCGTCTTCGAGGTAAGTATTCATTGGGCCAGGATGGTGCCAGTATCGGAAGCCGATTCTATCGCCTGATGGAGATCCGCCCAAAGTGATGATGAACATGAGCAGGATTAAGCCAACGATGGTGGTCAGCTTGATGGCGCCAAATGCGAACTCGGCTTCTCCGTAAATGCGTACCGGCAAGCAATTAATGATGACCATGGCAGCAAAGAAGACGGTAATGAGCGCAGCCTTGGGCACATCGTTGGGCCAAAAGTCGACAATGATGGCACAAGCAGACACCTCGATGGGCACACCAATAGCAAACTGATACCAATAATTCCATCCCAGCGTGAATCCAAGCGCCGGATCGACAAATCGTGAGGCAAAAACTGGCACTGCACCTGGAATCGGCAACCAGGCTGCCATCTCACCCAGACTGTTGATCACACAGTAGAGGTTAAAGCCCGTGATAATATAGCATATAAACGCAGAAAGCGGGCCCGCCAAAGAGAGGACCTGTCCGCTACCAACAAAGAGGCCTGTGCCAATGGCTCCAGAAAGAGCAAGGAACTGAACGTGACGAGCTTTGAGTCTACGATCAAGAGTCCCGATATGCTGCTGCTCGTTTTCCGCCTTTTGGGAATCATAGTTGTCGAAGGCGCTGATGGGAGCAGCAGCAACAGAGATGGTATCTTGGGCTTCGACATCGCCATGCGGCGAAGGCTCTGCCTTTTTAGCCATGGCTTGTGAGGCTGGTCTCGGAAACCGGCAAAGAATTCTCAAGATGAAGCTTTGATATTGTTCCTGCACAGATGGGATCGACAATGCCGGGGATACAATATATATAGGTAATGCTACATGCACAGGGACTTACACGAAGGATGCATACGGTACAGAGACCACGTTCAGGTCCAACCCGTAATCGGAGACCTTTATCGGCTCCAAACTCACATCTCGCCTATCAATGCATGAGATCTTCACATCGGCCAACTCATGTAACCTCAATATGCGGGCTATCGTCGCCGTCCCTCACCTGTCCTCTGCTTCCCCGCAATCTAATGGTAGCATAAGCGTAAGGTAGCTCTAGATTAGAGACACTGGACGGAGCACCGCGCTTAAAAGCTTCGTATAAGCCGGTAGCTCACTACGCTAAACCTGGATTCCCCCGCGGAAAGACTTTTCCTCAATTTTCCCGAGTCTCATATCTTGTACTAAAAGGCTTGGAAACACGCTCATGCATCAACCTTGGAATCAAAGCAGGAAAGGTGGCGGGCGATACAGCTGCACGAGAGTGATTATCCGGGATAAAACAGGTAACATAGGCCAGCCTACGTGGGGGAATGAATAGCCATTTTGTGGACCAGCAACAAAAGAGGAGGAGTCAGCACTTGGCCGATCATTTTGGAGATAGCCATTCCATTCTCGGGCTGTAGATTGCAGATCCACCGTTCGGTTGAAGTACTCGGGCTTCGGTTCAGTGCGGCCGAGTTGTTATTTGCTCGTTGACGGCCGTCTTATGGGTGCCGATATCGTAGCCTGTCGCTCACGGTATCAAATGATTGGCTGTCTGCGTGCTTAGCTAGTCTTTACAGAGGTGGAAGCAGGGGATTATAAGTAGCATCACATGTACCAGATATATACGAGCTTTTTTAACAAACATTTATGTTAAACATTTGTAACAAACATTTGTGTCAAACATTTGTAGTGATTGAATATTATTTAATATCAGGAAGAAGCCATTTAGTATCAAATGCTTAGAGCTTAGCAAGTGTATTAGAGGCAATAGAATGCCCATTCCGTATCCCATTTCCGAAAATGACTCCAAAAACTATAACGCAACCACCTCCAAAGCTCTCGAAGCAATATAATGACGATCTCATATCCCATTTCCGAAAATGACTCCAAATAAGTTACCCCAATCATCCCTGAAGCTGTCGACGCTCTCGACGCTCTCTACGGTGCTCTCGACGACGCTCTCGATACTCTCGGCGACGCTCTTCACGAATTTGGCGCTGTCGTTGCTCCCAACGCTCTGGATGGTCTCGACGTTCCCGAAAATCTTGGAGCTCCTGTTCATACGACTCATTGAGGATGCGAGCTGTGATTTCCTCCTTAGTTCCTTCGCGCTTCCAGAGCCGCCTAACCAGTTGGCCATATTCTTCTTTGTTGAGATCCGTACGAAGTTGAGGCTCGCGAAGAGCTGTGACTTGGCGGGGCAGATATGCTGGCAAAGCGGTTTCTCCTCTTGCAACAGCGGTTTGATGATGAACAATTCGACGTTTCTCTTGTCCATGTAGAATAAGTTGAGGCGATGTCGAGAGAGTGTCTTGGCTGGCTGCAATCAAACGTTAGCAGTTACAAAAGACATCCATGAAAACAGAATATAGGATACGTACTTTGTTCATTCTGTGTTCCCAGGGAGATGATCAGGCGTCTTCCGATACGGCCAGAAGCATGAAGAGACAGAGGATTGATGTCAAGTTGACTCTCATCAATAGACTTGACGCGACGCGCAGCCAATCTCATGTCCTCGGCAAAATATGGGTGCTTTTCAGCAAACGCCTTCCAGTCGGCTCCAAGTCTCTCCTCGCCATGAGGATGAACCTCCAGAAGAGCTCCGATGAAGAGGCCAGAGTCTGGTAGAGATTACTCTAGGTGATTCAAGCCCGTACGACAGGCAGCGGCGAGCTGGTCACGCCAGTAATGAGTGGACATCTAAAGGACAATAGTAAGTAGAGTGTATAAGATATTAGAAACAGGAGCTGGGTTATGTGACCTACGGCTGCGGTTGTGACAAATAGTTGTAATGAAGCATGAAGGCAGAAATATAGATTGAATGCTCGTGGTAACAATTGAAAAGAAAAATTCAAGAGAGTATGTTGAGGGTGGTAGGAAGAAAGAAGATTGAAACTGAACAGTTGGAGGATTAAATAGTTGTGGAATAAGTGAATGCACAAGCAAGCCTGCCACTGCCAGCTGCCAGCTGCCGGCAAACCCCTATATTAAAAGAAACCCATGGTAATAGAACAATATAAATTCTGTTCTTTAGCGTTTTATCTAAATAAAAAATCTACAGCAAAGAGATTTGGCAATTCATTACCTGCTTGTGGATATTCTCAATGATTGAATACAGACTACATGTACAAATTGCTCCCCTACCTGCACAGCGACTAAACAAAACAGCTCCCTAAGCAAATACAAATATTTACCTTCACAATAGATACTCTTTATTGTGTCTTCTGTCATTAGCATCTTGGAATATCGAACTGTTGAAAGCGCTCGAAAATATATTATAATGGACATGTTCGATAATACCCATGAGCACATGTGACCAGCAATGCCAAAACCCACCGCCACTACCAACATCACCTCTACCTACATGTACTCCAGAAATACCAAGGGAATCTACCTCTTGTAACTTTACGACGGAACTCTGCTAAACACATTCTAATTGAAACAGTTGGGATTCTGCAACAGTTGGAAGATGAGCGACTCGCAGCTACCAGTGCACTTGTTCGAGAAATCACTCTGGAGCACTTTCACGCCCATTTACCAAATGTCGAACTTGATTGGGAATTGGGAGGCGCTTATGTCTGCCGTGTGATTGGGCTCCAGTGCTATGGGACCAAGAGCAAGTCTGTTTGACACGTCACAGAACATCTGCGGCGAGCATTTCATTCCGTCAGTGGAACTGTTAACATCATCTGTCACTCTTTGTATGCTGATGGTCGTTGAAGGATCACAATGCAAGTCAAACGCCACGAGAGAAAATACCGCCTCCACGCACCCGTCCACCCTTGATCCAGCCCCTCTGTTAAAAAAAAAAAGAAGAAGAAGAAGAAGAAGCTTAGGGGGAAAAATTAAAATGCAATCGTTGATATATAGCCACTTAGCTATCATGTTCGAAAGCTGCCACGCTTCACACAAAACTTTCAGGTACCTTTTTTATCTTGCCGAGGATCCAACTTTTGATGTCTTTGGCGGCGGTCTTCTTGATGTCAAGATCGCATCTCTTTAGGTACTTTTCAAAACGCTCTATCTCAGTTTCATCCCGTTCCTAAAGCAAAGCTAGGCCAGGAAGCGTCTCCCAAACCGAGGTGGGCTCTTGAAGTTTGGCTCCTGGCGGAAGATATCGAATGCGGCGAATCATGCCAGCGATCGTGAAAACATCGGTGCGAAAAATTGGTCGACGCTTACCCCGAAAATTGAAGACGCCTCGTTCACTTATACCATGACCCGTTGTCCAACAACGTATGATACTAAAACAATTAGAACAACTCTCTGAGTAAGAAAGCAAAATGCTATAGAGGCATACGGCTTGGCTAGCTTCCGAGGTGACAGCTTCGGGACTTTAGTCAGAAAGCTCGCCAAATATTTATCGGGATAGAGATCATACTGATGGAGATTTGTGCTGAGGTGTTCCAGGAGATCAATTAGTTTGCGCGTAAAGATCAGGTACGCATGCTGTGTAGAGTTCTCGTACTGTTAATCGCTTGTCCCCAACACATTTGAGCAAAATGGCTTTACCTTGGATCGTTTGTCCTCTATGCGAAAATCGATCCGTTCAGGTCTAGCTCCGCGTGCAAATGTAGCGGCTCGTCGGTCTTTATGGCATCGTATATCTCTTGCTGTACAAGATCTTATTCATCGAAGCCCTCTTCTACAGCATCAATATCTTCTCGATCCTCGTCTCCATCATCCTCAGCAAGCCCAAGCGCATCTAGTTCCTCTTCTATCTTAGAATCCCTTCATTCCCGAGCTCACCTCGTGGCTTGATTCTCGGCTAGCTAAGCGTCTCCTTTCCACTTGCTGAGGCTTCCGACCGGGCGCCCTCCCCAGTCGACTTCCTGCCTTGTTTATCACGCGTTAACATTTCTTTCAGAGGCAGTCAAAATGGCTAAGGTCAAACAAACATTTTGAAACCCCACATTTAATGATATACAGGGAAAGCCATCGGTAATGACACAAACGGGAGGCAAGACTCCGCGCAAGGATCTAATCATTGCGGCGGGGAGACGTTGATGGTGTTTGAGACGTGCATCGATGTAGCAACGGCAATATAGATCTCTCATATACCTTACTTGATCAGAATTTAGCTCTTCGGGTATCTGCTGCTATCTCTAATACATTCAGCTAATCTCTACTTTCTGCTATTATCGCTACATCTTTCTAATACCCGCTGCTATAGCTATGTTTCTCTAACTTCCGGTATCACTACTTATTACTTACCTATGCGGTTTCAAATTTGAGATATAGGATTAATGTTGGATAGCAGAGTTAGGATACTGACTGGTATTTCCCTATCTATGTAAAGCGGTAAGAAGGCAATAATACTTTACTAGGCATTTTGCTATCCGGTTAGTTTTTCTTTTTCCTCACTACTTGTCAAGCTACCTAAGATATTAGATTTTATGATAGAGGCAAAAACTAATTATGATGTCGTGGGCTCATCGCTAATACGAAGCTGCGGCAATCTAGGCGCTCCGACCCGATCGTACAATCTTTTTCACCAGCGACCATTGATGTCGTCCAAATTCATGCAGGCATTTCTTATAAATACTGTCAAGAATTTTACGGGGGTCTCCTATTTCGATTGCCAAATCTCGCGGGTTTTTCCAGAATGTCGACTTAACAATAGGCAACCCCACGCTCACCATTTTCTTCACGTCTCGTCAGCTACCATTTGATCAAATCTTTAGTCAGTGTATCTGTGTGTTCATCTCAATCATGCCTCTACATGTTTTATGTAACTACTCGATTAGAAAATCTCCATCATGTCCAAGGCGCAAACACTACTACTTAAGTATGGTGCCCCTGAAAAGATTGTGGAGACTGGCGCATCTAACTTAATCCAACAGCATTTTAGACCTCACTTTTCGACGAACGTATAGTGTCTACCTCTTTTTGCCGCTTATATCTGATAAATGATAGTTTGCTTTAAAGAAGCAAGGCCAGAGAACCCACAAAAATCGGTTTCTCATTCTTACTCATGACTTCTTTCCTTTTATCTCACCTGAATCGGTGGTCTTTTTGGAGATTTTGTGAGATATGCAGATAGCCATCTGTAATTATATATCCATTTGAAATGCGTATGAAACCAGTTCATCGCAGATTGCATGTAGATATGGAGAGACTATTTCTCTCTATGTGTGAGCTTATTGATGCCGAAAGTATAGCAAAGCTGCACAGCCTGAATCAAAGTTATATAGCCTAGAAAATAAGGGACTTTTTTCCCTTCTTAAGCGATTAGCCTTAAACAGGCTCTAAGATTAAGGTCGCAATTGTGTGGTGGTAGTGAGATTCTGGCTATTGTAGGTGCTATATTGCCGTTCTTGGCCAGCTAGTGTGCCTCGAGGAGGCCAATTTGTGAAGTTTGAGCGATGCGGGCAACAGTCACGCAACGGCTTGGCATAAACGGTAGGCAATACATCAATAGAAGCATGGAGCTACTCTATACATTATGAGCGAGGTTTTCGAGATCTTGAAGCTTTGCGCCGTCAACCAGGGTGATGACAGTTCGATCTGGAGCAACACGTTGCAAAACTAATTCATGAGATCGTTTCTATTCTCACAGTAGCCAATACCATGTTAAGGGGGATATTAATTTATTCGTAATACTTCGGATTAATATACGCAAACTGTTGCATTCGATGTGGCCACTCGGATCACAGCCAAGGGAGTCGGCAAATTGAATAAGCTTATGAACCAAAGGAGACATTTATTTGATGTCATCCAATCAACAGCCGTGACTTTGCCTAATTAATACGTATCAAGCAATTACAATTTGTCAGTTTTTGTACTGCGAAATGCCCTAATTATGCATGTAAGATACACTTTCCCCATGTTCACCATTCTCAATCCATCTCCTTCCAGGACTCTTCCTTGCGTCTCTAAGTGAAGGAATAAGCTTAACCTTAGAATCATATGCTCTTCCTGAAATGATAGCTTTTTTACTTCATCGGCTGCGTCGTCATATTATCATCCAATAGAAACTCACCCCCTTCAAATCTCATCAATAATCTGAACATCGCGAACGTATATCATAGACAGTTCAGTTCTCCTATGGGCATTGAGACCTAAATCTGTCAAGTTTCAAGTAAATGCTATTACTTCAATTAGGAAAGTCAAATATGGGCTAATACATCGGATATTTTCATGGTAATATACATAGATATATATCTCCGTAACATCGTTCCGGAGACAATTCAGCCTAATTATAGTCCTATTCAATCAGATGGAACAAATTCCCGTTTATGCTAGCAATTGGGAAAGAATTCGGCACAATTTCGTATTTGCCCGATGAATATATTAATTTACGGCATACCGCAATAGGCACTACTGGTTGTTAGGGATGCAGCGCCTTCACCAGACGGAAAGTCGTGATTGACTGAATTGTTCTGCAAATATAAGATAGCTTGGATCAGTTTCCTTGTCACAGTCGTCTGCTCAATCTTCAAGGCTCAAAGCAAGATCACCACAGCAAACCCTTTCACTGTTCCAATCACAGTCACAATGAAGTTCCTTCATATCTTACCTGTTATATTGCCAGTAGCCGTAGCTCAAACCAGCTGCGAACAGTATGCAGTGTTTTCCGGTGGTAATGGCTACTCAGTCAGCAACAATCTCTGGGGGCAATCAGCCGGTAGTGGCTTCGGCTGCATCACCGTGAACTCACTCAACTCGGCTGCCTCCTGGCATGCAGACTGGCAATGGTCTGGTGGCCAAAACAACGTCAAGTCTTACCCCAATGTCCAGATCAGCATTCCCCAAAAGAGAATCGTCAACAGCATCGGCAGCATGCCCACTTCTGCTAGCTGGAGCTACACGGGGAGCAACCTTCGCGCTGATGTAGCTTATGATCTCTTCACTGCATCAAATCCCAACCATGTGACTTATTCCGGAGACTATGAGCTTATGATCTGGCAAGTCGCTGAGACCTTCTTTTCCGATGATTGACTAACATAAATTCACTTTTAGGCTGGCGAGATACGGAGATATTGGCCCCATTGGATCTTCTCAGGGCACAGTGAACATCAATGGTCAGAGCTGGACACTCTACTACGGCTTCAACGGAGCCATGCAAGTCTATAGCTTTGTGGCCCCCAGTACTGTCACCAGCTGGAGTGGAGATGTGAAGAACTTCTTCAACTATCTACGAGACAACAAAGGATACCCGGCATCAAGCCAATATGTCCTCAGTATGTGGCTCCTATTCCGCTTTACTCGAGTCTACTTTACAATCATACTAACCATACATTACCTAAAATAGGTTACCAATTTGGAACTGAGCCATTCACAGGCAGTGGGACGCTAAACGTGAATTCCTGGACCGCGTCTATCAACTAAGACGGACTTGTTGCAAAGTTCAATTAGCATATACTATTTGGTTCATGTAAATGAATGTATTTATGCCCCACTATATGACCGGTTCGATACTTATGTCTGTCTGCGATCGAGTTTGAACGAATCCAGGGTCAAGTGTTTTGTATTAGAGCAAATTGCTAGTGTATGTTTATCTATCTAGAAGATCATATCACCGACGACCAGTGAATAGACACTAACGATATGCTCATAGCTTACTGCAAACCACCCTTGCGGCCCGCCTCTTGAGCTTTCTTGCTTCCGGGCTCAAAAGATCCCCCAGAGGCCTGTCCGCCCTTGGACGCAATTTCGCGCTTAAAATGATTAGTTATTACCGTTGCCTTTACACTCCGTAATAGTGTTGACAAACCTGCTTGTCAGGATCCATGGAAGCGAAGCCGCCCTGGTGACTCGCCTGTCCACCCTTGGACGCAATCGATTGCACTTCCTCCTTGGGGCTATCAATTGGTCAGTCATTAAGTTGGGTGTCGGAATCATTGTTGGTACTATACCGGTTGGCAAAGTTTCCGGGGTTGGTGTTGTCCGACATGGTATCTGGGTGCGGTCAGGGTGATGTTATAAATTGTGTTCAATGAGTTGATGGTTGTAAGTGTATAACTAATTCAAAACATTTGGAGAACGTACGGTATTTATACTTGATCTCTTCCACCTTTTACTCCATATGCCCTTTCTTATCTCCTTTTTTTCCCCCAATAACATTGAGGGACTGTCGTCATTGGGTCTTGCTGATGTACCTCTGAAGTCACTTCCATGTGATTCCGACCCTTGTTCGGCAGTCGTCAGAAGCCCAATTGGCCGCCACAAATACTCAATTACGGAGAGATTTTTATCATTCTGTTGTCAGTTATTCGAGATCATGACGTATATACTTGATCTCGATGATGCTGGCCATATTCGTTGCAATAGAGATGTACAGTTAACCGTCAGGGTTTGCTGTGGATATATATCCATGACGCCACAGGTGGCTTTCATATATGGAGTGTTGATACTGTAGGATTCTGAATGATGTAAACTCTGGGGGCAGACACCCCAATGAATAAAGTAAAATGGGAAAAGTAAACTCCCACATATGGAGAGTCCTCGATTAATTACATCATTGGCTCTCTTTAGGTTGTAAAGACATGATACACGGCAAAGCGCAGTTAACAATGGAAATGTTGCCGGGTAGTAAGAATTAGCTGTGCTAACTCGTGTACTTTGGTATTGTAGATGCACTTGCTCGGACTCTCGTCTGGTTATTATGTAGATACCAATGTCAGTTAGAAAAAGATTATCCGGCTACATTTTCTCATGCACTGTCTGTTATACTCAATATTTGACCAACACAACAATAACTGACTGGATGGGCGACCAAGTAACAAATGTTGTGCTCTCGCCGTAATGAATGTGGAAAATGATGCTGACTAATGACAAGAATCAGCCGGCAAAATGGAACGAAATTTTTTTGAACCAAGATGATATAATGCCAGGTTATTTGCCAGAACAATACGGAGTACGCTGCTCTTTAGTTCACCCTTTTGAGAGCAGCTTGGACAAGGATTTTCTTGGGCAATGAACAGACCACGCAATCGTCAGCCTCGACCCTCTGGACAAAACCAACCCCGGGGCCGAGGCCGAGGCCGGGGAGGGAGATGTTCAAATTCGGGTCGAGGAGCACCCGGGACGCCGCAGCAAGCGGCTGGGACTGTACCGACCTCTAGACAGGTAGTACCTGGTGCTGCAGTTTTTATCATTCTCAAGGAAGACCAGCCGACGGGCCGAGAAACACAAGGAATTGTCCAAGATGTTCTCACATCAGGAGACCATCCTCGCGGCATCAAAGTCAGATTACGGAACGGCCACATAGGTAGAGTGCAAAGACTCGATGACGGGTCATCAGAGCCATCAAACGGGACAGCGTGGGATCCGAGCGCTTCGAATTCGAATGTGTCGGGCTCAAGATTCAGCAGCCGGTATACAGACGTCAGAAATGATGACGACTTTGAGTATCTGGAGGGGCCGCCGCCGAGAAATCTAGCAGACTTTATGCCAGATTTAGGTCCGCCAACAACCAGCACATCTTCTAGTGAAGCCGGAGGTGCTCGCTTAGATGAGAGCATCGTTGTTTGCCCGATTTGTGAGGCGTTTGAAGGAGACGAGGCTGCAGTCACACACCACCTGGATCGAGAACACCTTGGATGAGCTACGAAGTTTTTGTTTTGTTTTAAATGACCAATGTCAACCGCCGTTTCCTATGGCGATGAAGATCTGATTTGGCGAGATTCGTGGCGTATATGCAAACTGTGTTGGGTGGAAACTATGGCGTTGCAGGCGTTCACGTTCACGGTCAACGTCTTTCTCTCTTAGAGCCGGCGTTAATCGAAACATTACTAAAAGTAAATCCATACAAACTACGATTGTGCTTTCTCATCATGTATCAATGATGCAATGGTGTTTAGTACGCCTATCTCAGGTCACAGTGATATAATGAGATAGTACTCGGTAGCCTCATCCTGGCGAAGGCGATTACTGTACGTGCATTGCATCCCACGGGTTCATGGCTTTGACCCAGCAATGAGATGCTCAAGGGTACATGTATCCGCAGCCCTGCATGATCCCAATCGTCACGGCCATGTCGCTTTTGATCCGTAAAAGCCGGGCGACGGACCGGGGTGTCTGTATTTTTAGCAGGCAGGATAAACAAGGGTGAAACAAAGTGAAACCAGGTCGCAGCCACTCTCCGGCACTTGATAATATAATGGGCATGAAATTACAGCATGCAGTCTTGGAAATGCATGATTGGAGGCTCACTGGCTAGTAGGAGGTAGACATGAGTGAAAATGCCAGCTGGACGTTTCCCCAGGCAGTCGCTTTTCACATCAATTGAGAATGCCGCTGCCTGGGTTCGTGTTCAATTGCTGATTGTTATCGACGAAATTGCGCTGACTGGGCTGCCGCCAAAGAAAAAAAAATGGGGAGCTCAATAATAATGCGCGAGCTGCCGCGGGTGAGGCGAGCCTTGTCTGGCAGGCAAAGAAAATGGACGACGCTCGCCCAACCCGCCACGCGTAGATGCTGCACATGGAGGTGATGATTGCATAGTAGAGCCAATCCTCGACACAATCAAGCAGTCATTTTGCATTGTTTTCTTGTGAGTGCAGCGCAATTGGTTGCATCTTCCCATCTTCAGCTCCCCTGGCCGCGATTCGCTGCCAATGACATTCACGTGCGGCCTAGCGCGCCCGGAGCGGATCTTGTGTGCACCCGCGCGCTGCGATTGGCCGGGCCGGGTCCTCGCTCCTCCACGTAATCAGTCCTGCCACCTTGCTGCTTTCCAAGGTCTTTTGTTGACGACCAATTCACTGGACCGGACCAGCCAGTTGCAGTGCAGTTGCAGTGCAGTGAGTGGGCTGTTGCTGCTACTAACTTAGTGCCTACTAACTGCCCAGACCTAATAGTCTAACAGTTGAATGCGAGGTGACCTGCCACTTCTCCTTTACCCTCTCCAACACCAACCAAATCTCTCCTCTTTTCGCCAATCAACCCTCCCCCATCGCATCGGCACGGCATCATCGCGACTCGCCTGCTGCCGCTTTTCTTTTCCCTCTTCTTCGCTTCGATCCTTCCCTCCCCGTTTTAGCCAGCCCGTTCGTGCCGCTCGGCGCATGGAAGCTGTCGACGGCCTCTCCATCCGCCCCTCGAGCCTCAAGCTAGCTCTCCCCAGCCTCAACACCGACTCTGTGAGCCGCGGCAATTTCGACAGGCGGCTGCCCTAGGAGTACCGAGTCGACGACGGCCCATACTATCTCATTCTTGGCTACTCTGGCGCAATGGCGCCTCTCCCCATCAAGTTCCAGGAGCTGGTGCAGCTCAGCAGCCTGGGCGTGGACACGGCCTCTATCGGCTTCAACTCCTGCGTAAGTCACTCTGTCCTTTGTTTCCTGTTTTTGCAACACTACAGATGGTATCGGCAGCACGCTGACTCTCTCCTACCGTTGGCCCCAAACAGACACTAGAGTCCGACTCTTTCGTTTGCATTCGGGAGAAGAAAAACGAAGCCGCCCAGCCCGAAGTTGTCATTGTCGAGCTCAAGAATGGCAACCACGTAACGCGCCGGCCCATCAAGGCCGACAGTGCTGTCATGCACTGGAACAAGCAAGTCATTGCCCTCAAGGCCCAGTCCCGGACCCTTCAGATCTTCGACCTCGAACAGAAGAAGAAGCTCAAGTCCTGCACAATGAACGAGGATGTTCAGTTCTGGAAGTGGATCAGCGAATCCACTCTGGGCCTCATCACAACCAGCAGTGTCTACCACTGGGACGTCTATGACGCCGCCCAGGATGCGCCCGTCAAGGTCTTTGAGCGCAACGCCAACCTCAACGTGCGTCAATCCACCCGCCTGTATTTTCCCTCTCCCCCCTTCTCAACTGACTCAAAATGCTAGGGCTGCCAAATCATCAACTACCGAGTTAACAGCGACGGAAAGTGGATGGTGGTCGTGGGCATCTCCTCTCAGCAGGGCCGAGTGGTTGGTGCCATGCAGCTCTACTCCAAAGACCGTGGCATTAGTCAGGCCATTGAAGGTCACGCTGCTGGCTTCGGCACCTTGAGACTGGACGGTGCTCCCCAGGACACCAAAATCTTCAGCTTTGCTGTCCGCACAGCCACCGGCGCCAAGCTACACATTGTCGAGGTTGACCACCCGGATTCGAACCCAGTCTTCCAGAAGAAGGCTGTCGACATCTTCTTCCCCCCCGAGGCCACAAACGACTTCCCCGTCGCTTTACAAGTCTCACAAAAGTACGGTGTCATCTTCATGGTCACCAAGTACGGCTTCATCCACTTGTACGATCTCGAGACGGGCTCGTCAATCTTCATCAACCGCATCTCTAGCGAGACCATCTTCACCAGCTGCGCTGACAATGAGTCTTCTGGCCTTGTGGGTATCAACCGCAAGGGTCAGGTCCTCTTCGTCACCATTGATGATACCACCATCATCCCCTACTTGCTCGAGAATCCCGCCAACACAGAGATTGCCATTAAGCTGGCCTCAAGAGCTGGCCTTCCCGGTGCTGACAACCTTTACGCGAAGCAGTTCGACCAGCTCTTCAACAGCGGAAACTACCTCGAGGCTGCCAAGGTTGCTGCCGGTTCACCCCGCGGATTCTTGCGTACGGCCGACACGATCGAGAAATTCAAGCGCCTCCCCACCCAGCCCGGTCAGATGGCTATTACATTGCAGTATTTCGGAATGCTGCTTGACAAGGGCGCGCTGAACATGCACGAGACGCTTGAGCTGGCCCAGCCTGTGCTGCAGCAAAACCGAAAACACCTCCTCGAAAAGTGGTTCAAGGAGGGCAAGCTGGACTGCTCCGAGCAGCTCGGTGACATGGTGCGTCCGTACGACGTCAACTTGGCCCTGAGCATCTACCTCCAGGCCAAGGTCCACCACAAGGCCGTTGCTGGCCTTGCCGAGACCGGCCAGTTTGAGAAGATTCTTCCCTATGCTGCCCAGTCTGGATACCAGCCCGATTATATCCAGCTTCTCCAGCACATCATTCGAACCAACCCCGACAAGGGAACTGAGTTTGCCACTGCTCTCGCCAACCACGAGGGCGGCGCTCTGGTTGACCTCGAGCGAGTCTGCGATATCTTCCAGTCTCAGGGTATGGTCCAGCAAGCCACCGCCTTCCTCCTCGATGCTCTCAAGGAGAACAAGCCTGAACATGCTCGTCTTCAGACCCGCCTTCTGGAGATGAACCTGATGCACGCTCCCCAGGTAGCTGACGCTATCCTTGGTAACGACATGTTCACACACTTTGACAAGGGTCGAATCGCCCAGCTGTGCGAACAGGCTGGCTTGGCCCAGAAGGCTCTCGAGCTGTATGAAGACCCTGAGGCCATCAAGCGTGTCATTGTCAACATTCCTGGCTCTCCCAACTTCAACCCTGAGTGGCTGTCCACCTTCTTCGGCAAGCTCTCCGTTGAGCAGTCTCTGGACTGTCTCGATGCCATGATGAAGCACAACATTCGCCAGAACTTGCAGTCGGTTGTCAACATTGCCACAAAGTACTCGGAGCTCCTCGGTGCTGTGCGCTTGATTGATCTCTTTGAAAAGTACAAGACTGCCGAAGGTCTCTTCTACTACCTTGGCAGCATTGTCAACCTCTCCGAGGACCCCGACGTTCACTTCAAGTACATCGAGGCTGCTACCAAGATGGGCCAGTTTAACGAGGTGGAACGCATCTGCCGTGACAGCACTCACTACAACCCCGAGAAGGTCAAGAATTTCCTGAAGGAAGCCAAATTGCCGGAGCAGCTGCCTCTCATCATCGTGTGCGACCGTTTCAACTTTGTGCATGACCTGATTCTGTTCCTTTACCAGAACCAGCAGTTCCAGGCCATCGAGGCCTATGTCCAGCGTGTCAACCCGTCCCGAACTCCTGCCGTCATCGGAGGATTGCTCGATGTTGACTGCGACGAGAAGATTATCAAGGACCTTCTCGCCACTGTCGATGCCCAGCAGGTCAACATCGACCAGCTTGTCTCCGAGGTTGAGTCTCGTAACCGCTTGAAGCTTCTGCTGCCCTTCCTCGAGGCCACTCTCCAGGCCGGTAACCAGCAGCAAGCTGTCTACAATGCTCTGGCCAAGATCTACATTGACTCCAACAACAACCCCGAGAAGTTCCTCAAGGAGAACGACCAATACGACACCCTTGTCGTGGGTAAATACTGTGAGAAGCGCGATCCCAACCTGGCATACATTGCCTACTCCAAGGGCCAGAACGATCTAGAGCTCGTCAACATCACCAATGAGAACTCCATGTACAGGGCTCAGGCTCGCTACCTGCTTGAGAGAGAAGATACCGAGCTTTGGCGCTTTGTCCTCAGCGAAAACAACATTCACAGGCGGTCGGTTGTCGACCAGGTCACCGCTACTGCTGTTCCCGAGTCCACTGATCCCGCCAAGGTGTCTGTTGCCGTCTCCTGCTTCTTGGAGAACGACTTGCCTCTAGAGCTCATTGAACTTTTGGAGAAGATTGTTCTTGAGCCTTCTCCGTTCAGCGACAACCAGAACTTGCAGAACTTGCTCATGTTCACTGCTGCCAAGGCCGACAAG